AGTTAGTCAGTGGTCACATGATGCAGGGTGCACTGCATCAGGTGGTATAGTTAACTAAAGGGCAGACATATTGGAGTTTAGAGTTTTCCTCCCCTGGGTGGAGTTGAAGAGCCTGATGGCGTGGGGGAGGAACGATCTCCTCAGTCTTTCAGTGGAACAGGACAGTGACAGCAGCCTGTCGCTGAAGCTGCTCCTCTGCCTGTAGATGGTGCTGTGCAGTGGATGCAGTGGATTGTCCATGATTGACAGGAGCCTGTTCAGCGCCCTTTGCTCTGCCACAGATGTCAGTCTGTCCAGCTCTGTGCCCAACACAGAGCCCGCCTTCCTCACCAGTTTGTCCAGACAGTACACTACTGCGTGGAAGAGGGCGCTCGCCACAACAGTCTGATAGAATATCTGCAGCAGTTTTTTGCAGATGTTGAAAGACGTCAGCCTTCTGAGGAAGTATAATCGGCTCTGACCTCTTCTGCACAGGGCATCTGTGTTGGCAGTCCAGTCCAGCCTATCATCCAGGTGTACTCCCAGGTATTTGTATGTTTGTACCAACTCCACACAGTCACCGTTGATGGTCACAGGTTCCGGGTGGGCCCTGGGCCTTCTGAGGTCCACCACCATCTCCTTGGTCTTGGTGGTGTTGTGGCGCAGGTGGTGGGAGTCACACCATGTGACAAAGTCCTGAATGAGTTTCCTGTACTCCTCCTCCTGGTCATTCCTGATACAGCCCACAATAGCCGTGTCGTCTGCGAACTTTTGCACGTGACAGGACTTATAGGACTTAGGAGTTATATTTGAAGTCTGACGTGTACAGGGTGAACAGGACCGGAGAGAGCATGGTCCCTTGCGGCGCTCCCATGCTACTGACCACAATGTCAGACCTGCAGTCCCTCAGTCGCACATACTGGGGTCTGTCTGTTAGGTAGTCCATTATCCATGCCACCAGATGTGAGTCTACTCCCATGTCTGCTAGTTTGTATTGCAGAAGTCGAGGCTGGATGGTATTGAAGGCGCTGGAAAAGTCCAGAAATGTAATTCTCACAGCACCGTTTCCCCTATCCAGGTGAGAAAGGGATCTGTGCATCAGGTACACAATGGCATCCTCTACTCCCACCTTCTCCTGGTAGGCAAACTGCAGTGGGTCAAGGGCGTGGCGGACCTGTGGCCTCAGGTGGTGTAGCAGCAGCCATTCCATGGTCTTCATCACATGTGATGTCAGGGCGACCGGTCTGAAGTCATTTAGCTCACCAGGATGTGGTTTCTTTGGGATTGGGATGATGCAGGATGTCTTCCACTGTCTAGGGACCCTCCCCTGTTCCAAGCTCAGGTTGAAGATGTGCTGTAGGGGGAGTCCCAGCTCCAACGCACAGGCCTTCAGAAGTCGAGGGGATATTCCATCTGGACCTGCTGCTTTGCTGGGATGAAGCCTCATTAGCTCTCCACACACCTGGGCTGCTGTAATAGTGGGTGGGACAACCAGCTCCTACTGTGGCTCCTGAGGGGAGCGAGAGAGAGACAGCAGCAAAAGGGGGTATGGTGACCTGAGGTGTTAACGGGATGGGGTGGTCGAACCTGCTGAAGAACTGGTTCATCAGGTTTGCTCTTTCTGTATCTCCCTCCATGTGGGCCCCCCGCTTTGAGCTGCAGCCGGTGATGATCTTCATCCCATCCCACACCTCTTTTAATGCTGTTGTTCTGCAGTTTCTGCTCCAGCTTCCTTCTGTACTGCTCCTTTGCTTCCCTGAGCTGGACTCTGAGTTCCCTCTGTACGCGTCTAAACTCCTGCTGATCTCCATCTTTAAAGGCCCTCTTCTTCTGGTTAAGAAGGCCCTTGACATGATTTGTAATCCAGGGCTTGTTGTTGGCATAGCAGCGCATAGTTCTTACAGGAACAACAACATCCATACAGAAGTTGATGTAGTCAGTAGTACAGTCAACAGCCTCCTCGATGTCCTCACAGTGCGAACCCTGCAGTACATCCCAGTCCGTACTACCAAAACAGTCTCTTAGAGCTCTGCTTCAAAAGACCACTTCCTGAATGAGCGCATTGTTGTGGGTTGTCTCTTCACTCTTGGTTTATATTGAGACTGAAGCAGAATCAGGTTGTGATCAGCTTTCCCCAGTGCAGGCAGAGTGGTGGCGCTGTATGCGTCCTTAACGTTTGCATAAAGTAGGCCAATAGTCTTATTTCCCCTGGTGTAACAGTCAACATACTGGAAGAAAGCAGGTAGTATTGTGTCCAGAGTCATGTGATTAAAGTCCCCAGAGATTAACACCAGAGCCTCAGGGTGCTGTGTTTGTAGTTCTGCTACAGCGGAGTGGATGACGTCACACGCGACTACCGCGTCAGCACGTGGTGGGATATAAACAATAACAACAATGGCGTGTCCAAACTCTCTGGGCAAGTAGAAGGGTCGCAACCCTACGGCAAGCAGCTCAACGTCCCTGTTGCAGATGGAAATCTTGATGTTCACATGTCCAGGGTTACACCACCTTGTGTTCACGTATACAGGTAGTCCGCCTCCTTTCCGCTTCCCACAGGCATTAGTGTCTCTGTCCAACCTGTGCTGAAGCCGGGTAGCTCAACGTTAACGTCTGGGACGTTAGCCACATTTCAGTGAAGCACAGCAAACTGCTCTCCCTGTAGATTTTAAAGTTTTTCACCAGCGCAGCCAGTTCGTCGATCTTGTTCTGTAGTGAGTTAACATTTCCCATGATCACCAATGGTACAGAGGGTTTATATCGCCACTTCTTCGCCATTCGCCTGGCTCTGCCACGATAGGGTCTCCTCACCTCGTCAGGTAACTGGGGAACCACACCAGCCCAGGACTTTGTCTTCAGCGTGAGAAGTTGTTTTCTCGAATAAACGAGTTTGGGTAAATAAATATCCATATCTATTGGATAGAAGTTGATCAGATGTGACAAGGCACAAATGTGAATATAAAAAAGCAAAAACAAACGTCAATAAAAATAATAAAAAGTCAAAAAAGATCACTGCACTGCTGAAAGGGCTGCCACTCGTGGCAGCGCCATGGCATCCTGTAGTTGGTAAGTACTATGTAGCAAGTACTATGCTTCCCTCCCAAACGTCCGAAAGCACGCTATGAAGATGTCCAGTTTTTGGGAGCACATATATCTGTGAGCAAACTTTTTCACACATGAAGCTGATAAAAAATCCGACGAGATCAAGACTCTCAGATCAACACCTGCATCAGTCTCTGAGACTGGCTGTAACTGGAATGGAATGTGACATCAATCTCCTCAACAGTCAGAAGCAAGCCCACAGCTCACACTGATATGGTAAGCCTGCTGATTTCAGTAACTATGAATATGAAAAAATGTCAGTATAGTCATGCTCTTTTCATAGGCAACATGTTTCTTGAACAGTGATGTCACATACAAAATGAGACTGCAGCATGTCATCTGCTGATGGGCTGCTTGTGTTTTTCTATCTGCCATTCCTGAAGGGCCTGCATGCTTCCAGGACCACCCTAAAGTCAGGAGGATAGATTGTGGTTGACCGCTCCCACCCTGGAGCCAGGATCCTCATCATCACAGCACAAAAACCTAATCTAAGAGTCATGTAAATACAAAACCAGATCACCTTATATACCTGTTTATTACAATTATTCTGTATTAATGTTATTTCACTGTAGCCTTAGTAAACATACCTGTTAGACAAAATACTATGTTATGTATTGTTAACTCACCTTTATCTGAGAATACAAAATCAGCTCAACAAGATAAGACTACCTGATTCTTACCATTATTCTGTTTTAATATTATTTCACCATGTGGCCTTAAGAAACAAACTAACCTGTCAAGACAAAATACTTAACTGTTGTTAACTCACCTTTACTTCACTCTGTACATACAAATTCAGCTCACCTAGATAAGACTACTTCACCTGATTTTTACTATTATTCTGTATTTATATTATTTCACTACCTGTAAAGACAAAATACCTACCAAATGTTAACTGACCTGTACCTGTTACAAAATCACATCACCTCATTGTTACCTGGCATCAGCTTGTGTTTTTATTTTCTATAAAATAAAAGGAGTATCTGTGGTACTTCAAATAAACACAAGAAGACTTTCTATTACTTTTTTTTTTTTTGCAAACCAACAGGTGGTGCCAAGGCCCAGCGAAGGGCAGCTGCAAAAAGATTATCATTATAATCTCCACAATAATACTGGTTGTCACTTTGGCCCATATCATTTCCAGTTATAGACTGACAGAAAGGAAAGTTGATGTGGCCCCTGCTGAAAAAAGTTTGGGGACCCCTGATTTAAGGTATTAACAAGCTAGCGCTAGCTAGCTAGCTAAAGAGAATGACAAGGGCTGTGTCTCATTCCGCATATATTCTGTCAGTATTAATATGCTAGCGCTAGCTAGCTAGCGTGCTAGAGATGATGACATGGTATTATTATACGGGCTAGAGACAGGCACACTCAAAATTTCTTTAGGAATTTTCTAGTTATTATTCTTATTCATTTTCCTCATCATCACTACTATACTGTTGTTGCTGTGCACCTCTGTCTCTCTCTCACCCCAACTGGTCGAGACAGACGACCACCCACCTAGAGCCGAGGGGTCTGTCCGAGGTTTTTGCCTTTTAATAGATAGCTTTTCCTTGCCGCAGTCACCAAGTGCTTGCTCATGGTGGCAACTGTTGGGCCACTGTAAATAATGTTATAAGGAGTTCGGTGCCCTGAGATAACTAGTTATGAATTGGTGCTATACAAATAAAACTGAATTGAATTGAGTTACGTATGCTGAATATTTCAGCCAGGAAAACATTATGTGCGAGTATAATTCTGTGAAAGACGTTGGTGGTCGTCTTATTTTTTCCACAGCAGTATGTTTTCTTTTTTGTTAATATAGTAATGCAAAACGGTAAATGGACCTGGACTTGTATGGCGCCTGTATGACGACCCGCTCTGCCTCTGCACCACAGCCGCCTAGTATAGCCCATATCTTATAAATGTCACAATATGTACAGTTTTATTAGTTACATTTTTATTTTCTATTTACATCCAACTTGTTATATAAATATAATACATCATTTTCAGAAAAGCTGTGAAGTCAATGGATACAAGCTTGATCAAAATATGGTGAGGTTAAACACACAGGTTAGGGTGGTATGCTGAATGGATAGGTTAGACTCTAAAATCAACTGCATGCAAATGAGACAACATGGGTAGTAAATCACACAGAATGGGCAGTAAGAGGGAGTTGACCCATCAACCTCTTGCTAAGGACTTCAGGAGAAGCTGTAGACTCAATGAAAAGATGACTGGGTGGTGATGTGTACAATATCCATGATGTAAACAACTCTTATTAGAATCACTTTCAAAACTACTGCTCAGTCCATTCATGAATTTTACACATCTGGTTCTTAGAGAAGTCAGCATATTTGCAGATTGAAGTTGTTGTCAGATGCAAAGTCAGTCCACAGAGTCTGGAACTAAAGGCCAGTCCAGCTGAACTGGACCAAACTCTGGTGTGTGGCTCAACATGGACACACACCACACACAAGGTTTTTCTCTGACTATGCCTTAAGGATTTAGATCAGAGTAAACATTCTGGTCTAGTTATGATCTAACTTTTGTTAAGTTCCAAACACAAGTGGGTGTTTGAGATGCTGGTGATAAGTGGATGGACACAGCAGAGGTACAGAGGGCTGGATGGAAGGAGGGCAAATCTGTGTGTTAATGAGAGAGCTTTGAACAGAAAAGGTAATGTGCAACTGAAAATCTTTGATGGTTGACCGATGAAATTAGATAGTTCTGCGGTCAATAAACTGTCTGACTGCTTAATCTGTAACATCAGCTCATCAGTACCTCTCTATTTTACTAATTTGTACAAAACATCTGTATTTCCAGTATTAATCAAGAGGAACAAGTACGATCATGTGTGTAGACTCTGCTCAGTGATTTCTGAGTCCAGGTCCTTTTGTCTGCAGGCCACGATGCTGCACTCAGGCATTGTTGATGATTATGAGAGCAGGAATAGAAGTCTGCTGACTTGTCTCACACATGGCTCCCTGCCCAGTTGGCTTGGCAAAGACTCGTGGCGTGTTAAGGTTGTAGACTCCAGCCTGGAGGAAACAGGCTCGCAGGGTCAGGCACAGGACCTCCTGAGGTTTCAGCTGCAGTTTGTACTGGGTCTGACCCACCCAGGTGAATGAGCTGTGGACCTCCATAGACTCTGGGCTGAAAAAGGCATGGATGGAGATGGAGAGCTTAGAACATATGATCCCTTTAACCCAGAAAATAAACTGACAGTTAAAGTTATATTTAACTGCCAATCAAGTCCTATGGTTAACGTCTGTCAAACAGCAACAGGCCTTTATTGCGTATAGATTATTGGATAAATTACAATACTGTGGCAAGCAGCACAGAGTAAGAGAGAAGAAGCAGCTCTCAGCAATGTCAACTAGAATTGATTGGCAATGTATATCTTAAATTACTGAACATGTTAATGAACATTTAACTTTAATATTCTTATATATTTATCTGTATTCCATATACATCAATCATCTACTAAAAAACGTACCTGGTGCTTTTGTGCCGTAAGTCAATAATGACATCCACTTGAGCCAAGGAACAGTTGGACAGAGTCAGAGTAACCGGCACCACACAGAGACTACAGACAGAGAGAAAACCAGCTTCAGTAATCAGTTCTTCTGAGAGTTTACTGAGGTTATATTTATTACATTCAACCAAAAATGCAATTGTTTTCAGAAGTGTTTTCATTTAAAGCTTTATTAAAATACAAAATATAAAAAAAGAGGTATATATATATATATATATGCAACAAGTCACACAGTTATGCAGATGACACTCAAATAATACAATAATAAAATAATCTTTCCAGCTTAGTCTTGACACAACAAGCTACTATTTCTTCCAGGGGAGGAATATCTTGTTCATGACCTCTCCATTACCATTGAGAACTTGGTAGTGTCTTCGGCCTGGACTGCAATGAACCCGTGTGTGACACTGGATGACCAACATTGCTGCAACAACCAGCTATTGCAGATTCATGCTCCACAACATCAGGATACGTTAATTCCTCACCCAGAAGGCAGCACAGGTGCCTAGACTACTGCAACTAGCTCATGGCTAGATGTGCCATTCCTACACACCCTGCACTTGCAACCGGTGGCTGCTCAGAACTCATTCAAGACACTGGTACTCACCTACCATGCAGCAAATGGCTCAAAATTATTGATGCAATCTTTTGTTTCACGTCAGCTGTCATGCAGCTATCTTTACTCACAAAGCTTTCATGCACGGTGCAGCCATTGTCAACTCTCTTGCCGTTTCTTTCCTCCACTCTGCTGTGTGTGTGAGTGAGAGAAATCAGGAGCACCCCTGCCCACTGCAGAGTTTCAGTGAGGAGGAGAGAGCTGTAGAGAGCCGACACAACTGCACACAACACGTCACTGCAAGTGTAACAAAAGCCCAGTGGACAAAAGCCAATAAGAGTAATTAATAAATCTAATCCGCAAAAAAAGATGGGACGATGGGAATCAACACTCAGATACAGTTAATTCAAGTAACTGAGGTAAAGGGTACAGCGACGCCACAAACACTGGAGAGAGGAACTCCTTCCAGACAGCAACAACCCAAAAGATTACAAAGGGTTTGTTATTTTATAGTTTATTATGTAACAAAAACAACAACAAAATAAGCAATGCATTAATGCAATGCTGAGCTATTCAATTGTCAAGCATTGGATTGATTTTGTTAACTGTATTGTACTTGTGCACTGGGCCCTTGCATTATCTAAAAGTATCAGATCAAGACTCTGTATCTGCAGATACTCTATATTAAAAGACTCGGATCCGATCGGGGGCTAAAACAAATTTGATCGAGACATCCCTTTTTGGGAGGCTTTACAGCGAGAGATATGCCGCCCTATTGTTGTGGAGGATGCAGAATTTTAGCATATAATTATGTGGCCATTTCTATATAAAAATAATATAGATAATATAAAAAAAATGTACTCATTAGAAACCTACTTTTTAATTTAAGATTTGGCAATGAATAAGTGTTTGTTTTTTATGTTACTGACAAAAAAATGATGTGCCAAAAAATACATAAAGTAAAAAATAAAAACTGTAATATTAAGGGAAATGTAACTGAAATTAAATTTGTAAACCGTTCCACCCCTAGCACAAACTGGAGGGATAAGGAAAAGGGATAGCTCTGCTTTTTTCAATTTATTATCACATTGCACAATAACAGATGTTATGTGGTGTGTGTGAGTATGTATGTGTATGTGTGTGTGTGTGTCCCACCTATCCTGGACAAATGGATGTGTGTAGGTCTCAGGGTAGTGCAGGTTGGTTTTGATGAGTTGGGACAGCTCTGCAGGAGGTAGGACGACTATAGGAGGAAACTCTGATTTAAACTTGAGCAGCACCATCTCCTGAGTTTCCTGCAACAAACACATACACACACAAAGTTACAGTGCACTTGCACTGACGTCACAAGATTTCAGTGTCTGGTAGGTACAGTGTGAAATTTTGATAATGGCAAGATTACCATTTGTCTAGTCATGAATTCCAAGTAAGTGGTAAATGGACAGCACTTATATAGCACTTTTCTAGTATTCTGACCACTTAAAGTGCTACACATCACATTCACCCACACATTCATACACTGATGGCAAAGGCTTATCTGAACATAAAATAATTCATTTACACACGGAACAGCATCGAGAGCAATTTGGGGAAGGACACTTCTACATGCAGCAAGAGGAGCCCGGGGATTGAACCGCCAACCTTCTAATAATGGGACAACCCGCTCTACTCCCTACTCCACCAGTCTATCACAGTCCACTTAAATACATGCACACTGTACCTCTCTGGGAGTCAGAGAACTGGCCTCTTTGCCGATGGTCTGCAGTGCCACATGGAGCTGGCCCTCTAAGATCAGCTGTTTGTTATCCTCGACCACATAGGCCTGTACAGACACAAACATCACAGACTGGAATCTTAAGCACAGACTGTTCATTTAGAGTTTTATTAGGGACCAAGCCAGCGACCGCTGGAGGTCCCTATTGTATTTGCTATGTTTCTTCTTCTTACCTATTATTATTTTTAGCCCCCTTTGACTGCATTTTTGCCCCCCTGAACATATACGAAAAGTCAATTTTATTTGGCATAGTTGTCAGGCCTGATGAAAATGGGGATATTATATACGAAAAGTCAATTTTATTTGGCATAGTTGTCAGGCCTGATGAAAATGGGGATATTCTATGTGTCGCTTTTGGGTTGGCCACTAGGTGGCGCTACTATCATAAAAAATGCGTTTAGGCTAATAACTTCTGCATAGTTTGTCGCACATTCAAAAACCTTGTATCCACGCGTTCGGTGTACAGAGCTGAATCTCCCTGTGTAGGCCACGCCCACTTCTGCCTATAATTTTTCTCCGCTAAATGTCCATACACTACTTTTCCGTGTTCCCCCCATGCGCTTTGTCCGATTCGCACATTTTTTCACCTTGTATTTGAACGAACTCCTCCTAGGGAATTTATCGGATATGCTTAAAAATTTGTGAGTACAGTCAAAAAATGGTTCTGATTAAAAGTTGTGCTATTTGTGCATGTACGTTGAAGGGTGTGTCCGTGGTGTGCCCTCAAAGTTGGACATAGTGAATTCTGTGCCCATTTTCAGTGAATTTTTTGCGTTGTATTTGAACAAACTCCTCCTAGGGAATTTATCGGATTTACTTCAAAATTGGTCAGTAGAGTCAAAAAATGGTGATGATTGAAAGTTGTGCTATTTGAGACTGTACGTTGAACGGCGTGTCTGTGGCGTGAGGTCAAAGTTGGCCACTTTGAATTCTGTGGTCATACAAACTGATTGAAAAGTTGAGCTATTTGTGACTGTACATCAAACAACTTGTCGATTTCAGCAGATTCCCCATAAAATAGTACTCATAACTTCAGTGTGCAATGTCCAATCTCCAATAAACTTCATATATTCTGAAACAGTTTTGCCCTGAACACGTCCTCATAACTTCAGCGTACGTGGTCCAATCTCAATGAAACTTCACGTGTTTGATAACACTCAACATTCAGATATTTACCTGGCAACAGGAAGAGCCCTGGCTTTGAGCTGATTCGCAGATTTCATGTTGTGGTCAGCACGTTACGATGGCACGCCCTCTGCAGCACGCCCAGTTGCATGGGTGAGGCCCGCACGCTCTTGCAGCTTAATAGTATTACATTTCAGGGGCCCTATTTCTGTAATGTCACACACTGGCTCTCACGGTGTCTTTTTCCCACTGACCTAGAACTGAATCCAAGATGTTATGATGTCATGTCAAGAAGATCATGAACACTGCAGACATCTGTAAATTATGAACAGAATGATGAATGTGAAATATTTCAAGGTGTTGGCATGGATCAGTTGTGAATATGAAGAGGCAATTGCTGCTGCTCCAAAACAAAACTCTTAATGTTTTTAATATTATAATTTATCATTTATCATTTAGGTAAGAATACAAATTTGGTTTTGCTATATCAATGAGAATTAAAGCTGCAAGCAGCGTTGGGTGGGACCTCGCACTCCACGCAACTGCCATCGTTACACGTGCGGACCAAAACATGAAATTTCACGTAAATCAGCTCAAAATCGCCATGCGAGTGCGAGGTACTTCCTGTTGCCAGTAGGTGGCGCTATCACTATGTCTTAATATTATCATGTAGACAAGTTCAGGGCAGGACTGTTATAACACACGGAAGTTTCATGAGATTGGACCACGTACGCGAAGTTACGAGGACGTGTTCAGGCAGACTGTTACAGAAAAGAGTTTATGGAGATGGACATTGCACACAAGTTATGAGTGCTGTTTATGGCCAATCGGCGAATTCGACAAGTCGTCACCGGCACAGTCATTCACGTAACTCAGCTCAAAATCGCCACGCAGCGCTTACTTCCTATTGCCAGTAGGTGGCGCTATCACTATGTCTGAATATTGTCATGTAGACAAGTTCAGGGCGGGACTGTTATGAAGCATTTGAAGTGTGGAGCCGATTGGACAATGTACACTCAAGTTATAGCGAATTCGTGTTTTGTGGTGGTCCATCAAAATTTCCCGCCACCCCACAGACACGCCCCCTCACCACAGTCAACACATATCATCAACAATGTGTTTTGCATTTTATAAGTAAATTTCAGGTGGATCTGATCATCCTGCGAGGAGTAGAACATGAAAATATAAAACGTGATACTTCCTGTTACCAGTATGTGGCGCTATCACTATGTCTGAATATTGTCATGTAGACGTGTTCAGGGTGGGACTGTTATCAAACACGTGAAGTTTCATTGAGATTGGATCATGTACGCTGAAGTTATGAGGATGTGTTCAGGGTGGGACTGTACACTGAAGATATGAGTACTATCTGTTTGATGGCCAATCGGTGGAATTCGACACGTCGTCACGGGCACACGGTTAAACATACAGTCACAAATAGCACAACTTTTGATAACCAATGTGTGTAGATTGAAGTGGTCGAATTTGAAGTCAATCTGATAAAATCTGTAGGAGGAGTTAGTTAAAACAGAAGACCTTAAATGCTGGAAATAGCATCACAGTTTGACACAGTTTGATTCAACCTGGCCAACTTTGAGGCCACGGACACGCCCTTTAACATACAGTCACAAATAGCATAACTTTTAATCAGCACCATTTTTTGACTGTAATGACTAATTTTGAAGCAGATCAGATAAATTCTCTAGGAAGAGTTCGTTCAAATACAACGCAAAAAAACGCTGAAAATCATTGCAAAATGCTGGAAATGGCATAACAGTTTGACATTTGATTCAACCTGGCCAACTTTGAAGGCACGCTAGGGACACACCCTTTAATGTACATGCACAAATAGCACAACTTTTAATCAGCATCATGTTTTGACTGTACTGACCAATTTTGAAGTAGATCCAATAAATTCCCTAGGAGGAGTTCGTTCAAATACAACGCGAAAAATTCACCGAAAATGCGCACGGAATTCACTATGGCCAACTTTGAGGGCACGCCACGGACACGCCCTTCAACGTACATGCACAAATAGCACAACTTTTAATCAGAACCATTTTTTTATCTGTACTCACACATTTTGAAGCAGACTCTATAAATTCCCTAGGAGGAGTTTGTTCAAATACAGCGCGAAAAGTTCGCCGAAAGTGAAACTTTAAATCAAAATGGCCGACTTCCTGTGGGGTTTCAGGTATGGGTCCAAGAGGCTTTTTTGTACGTCCCAGCATGTTACACGTGCCTACCGAGTTTCGTACATATCGGTGAAACGTGGCGCCGGGGCTGCTGTTTTTTTATCCTGTAGGGGGCGCTTCACACACGACAAACACGATTTTTGGTATGTGAGCTTCAGGCACCACTCTACACGCGCCCTGTGAATTTCATATTCATAACTATTACGGTCTCTGCACAGTGATTTATCATGCCAAAAGAGCGCCACCTAGTGACGTATTTTTTTTGTCCTTTTTAAGGGAGCCTCAGGGAGCCATGGGGAAACATCGTACCAAGTTTTATCTTAATCACGCGTGCCGTTGCAGAGATATAAACTTCTTCATTTTAAAGAGCGCCACCTAGTGGTGATGGTCTGAAATTGTGCACGGTGCCTAAGGAGGACATGAGGAACTATGGACCCAAGTTTGATGTCAATTGGACATACCAATGTTGAGAAATGGTCCTCTTCCTTTTTTGACGAAAAATCTACAGGAAGTCTTAATTTTATAGCGTGCTTATTTTTTGAAATTTCAAAAATGTTCAAATTAGTCTTTTTGCCAGGGCGGTCCCCAGGTGCTAGGTGAAAAATTTTGTGCGAATCGGACAAAGCGTGTAGGAGGACCACGAAAAAGTACTTAAAGGACATTTCACGCTCTAACGAAAAAAATTATAGGCGGAAGTGGGCGGGGCCTATATGGAGAGATTCAGCTCCATTCATCGAACGCGTAGATATGAGTTTTTTGAATGTGCGACAAAATATGCAAAAGTTATTAAGTAACCAAAAAGTGAAAATACTTTCCTGAATAGTAGCGCCACCTAGTGGCCGACCCGAAAAAGACGCATAGAATATAAAGTTTTTTACCAGGCCTGACAACTTTGCCAAATAAAATTGAGTTTTCGTATATGTTCAGGGGGGGAAAAATGCAGTCGAAGTGGCCTAAAAATAATTAAAGCTGCAAGCAGCGTTGAGCGGGACCTCGCACTCCACGCAACTCGGGGCGTGCTGCGGCCGCGTCGCGTGCCGTCGTTACATGTGCGGACCAAAACGTGAAATTTCACGTAAATCAGCTCAAAATCTCCACACAGCGCTTACTTCCTGTTGCGGGTAGGTGGCGCTATCACTATGTCTTAATATTGTCATGTAGACAAGTTCAGGGCGGGACTGTTGTAACACACCTTAAGTTTCATTGAGATTGGACCACGTACGCTGAAGTTATGAGGACGTGTTCAGGGTGGGACTGTACACTGAAGTGGAGTACTATCTGTTTATGGTGACTGGTCGAAATTCAACGCAACGCCACGGGCACGCCGTTTGACGGAATGTCGCAAATAGCACAACTTTAAATCATGAATGTCTTTAGATTGCGCTGATTAAATTTGAAGTAGATCCGATAAATTCCCTAGGAGGAGTTCGTTCAAATACAACGCGAAAAATCACAGAAAATGACCAAAAAAATCTAAATGGCTGACTTTGATGCCACGCCACGGACACGCCCTTCAACGTACATGCACAAATAGCACAACTTTTAATCAGCACCATTTTTTGACTGTACTCACAAATTTTGAAGCAGATCTGATAAATTCCCTAGGAGGAGTTTGTTCAAATAAAACGCGAAAAGTTCGCCGAAAGTGAAAATGAAAATAAAAATGGCCGACTTCCTGTGGGGTTTGGGGTATGGGTCAAAGAGGCTTTTTTGTACATCCCGGCATGTTACACGTGCTTACCGAGTTTCGTACATATCGGTGTAACGTGGGGCCGGGGCTTCTGTTTTTTTATCCTGTAGGGGGCGCTACACACATGACGAACACGATTTTTGGTATGTGAGCTTCAGGCACTACTCTACACGTGCCCTGTGAATTTCATATTAATAACTATTACGGTATTTGCACAGTGATTTACCATGCCAAAAGAGCGCCACCTAGTGGCGTATTTTGTTTTTCCTTTTTAAGGGAGCCTCAGGGAGCCAGGGGGAAGCATCATACCAAGTTTCATCTTAATCACATATACCGTTGTAGAGATATAGACTTCTTCATTTTAAAGAGCGCCACCTAGTGGCAATGGCCTGAAAATGTGCACGATGCTTAAGGAAGACATGTGGAACTATGGACCCAAGTTTGGTGTCAATCGGACATACCAATGTGGAGAAATGGTCCACTTCCTTTTTTGACGAAAAATCTACAGGAAGTTGGAATTTTATAGCGTGCTCATTTTTTTAAATTTCAAAAATGTTCAAATTAGCCTTTTTGCCAGGGCGGTCCCCAGGTAGTAGGTGAAAAATTTCGTGTGAATCGGAAAAAGCGTGTAGGAGGAACACTTAAAAGTAGTTTATGGACATTTTGCGCTCTAGAAAAAAAAAATTCTAGGGGGAAGTGGGGGGGCTTATATGGGGAGATTCAGCTCCATTCACGGAACACGTGGATGTAAGTTTTTTGAATGTGCGACAAAGTATGCAGAAGTTATTAGCCTAAACGCATTTTTTATGATAGTAGCGCCACCTAGTGGCAGACCCGAAAGCGACGCATGTAATATCCCCATTTTCACCAGGCCTGATCACTTTGCCAAATAAAATTGACTTTTCGTATATGTTCAGGGGGGCAAAAATGCAGGCTAAAAATAATAATAGGTAAGAAGAAGAAGAAACATTGCAAATACAATAGGGACCTCCAGCGGTCGCTTGCGAGGTCCCTAATAATAGGTAAGAAATCGAGCAAAAACAATAGGGACCTCCAGCGGTCGCTAGCTCGGTCCCTAAATATGAATCATTGAGTCCTATTCTGTGCTACACCACAACGCCTGTATCGATCTCTGACTCTGATGTGTCATTGTCATGGAGGGTGTACCTTCCAGATTACAATAATGTTGAGGTCCAGTTCATTACACTTCTTGACAATGTTGGCGATGGCAGAGGCTCTGTTCTCAGTGGGGCCCTGCTTCTTGCTGCTAGATGATGTCCTGGATGATGCCACATCAACTTGCTGAGACTCTGAGGTCCGACAGCCACGGAAGAAGAAATCTCCACAGGGTGTGGAGGAACTGATGATCTACACATAGACAGTAAGAAGAGGTAAGCAGGAGGCAGAAAACATGCTGAGCTTTTCATAATCTTGCCCTATCTAGTTTTTCCTGCACAGAGGACCATCTGTGGTTTGTCATGGAAACCTTTCCCAAGTGAATTTTTTGTTGCGTGGCACCTTGTGTTATTAATGTAACCTTAATAGCATTTGCATCCAACAGAAATACTCCTAGCATCCTGGGGCCATAGTTTTTAACATTTACTTTTATTTTTTTACCTTTAGGTGGCTATAATCAATATTTCTATATCAATATAACAGCAGATTATTACGGAAGCCCTAAAGGGCCATGCATTCATACATTTTATTTCCTCCGTTTTCCCGTGATAAGTTAATTTTCTCGAGATCTCGAGATAACGAAACTTTGTTTTCCCGAGATAACGATATAATTAATTCAAGATCTCGAGATAATGACTGTGATATGATAACTGCGGTCAAGCAAGCTGTTACTCCGATTTCCCCGGTCAAATCAGCCGCACTTAAATTTACAGCGTATTCACTTTCGGTTTTCAAAATAAAGGTATTAAGAACAGTAAGCTATAATTCAAACCTACATTTAAAATAAAATATGTTACATTAAAGTGTTTCATGCGCCCATGATGAATAAAAAACATACTTAATATCAAGCATTTTTCTGCACCAATGTGAAGAAATACCAAAACAAAAGTTCCATATTTGTGCCTCCAAGTGGCATATTTTCCATATTTGAGGTACAGTAAAAACATATTGCTCAACAATTCCTGGCTATGGATGGTATATTTGACTCTACACATCTAAGACTACAAGCATACTTAATATCAAGCATTTTTACTGCACTCATTTGGAGAAATTCAACAATAAAATTCCATATTTGTACCTGCTTTTACACTACCAAATATAAAAATATGCCACTTTGAGATACAAATATGGAACTTTTGTTTTGGCATTTCTTCACATTAGTGCAGCAGAAATGCTTGATATTAAGTATGTTTTTTATTCATCATGGGTGCTTTAATGTAACATTTTATTTTAAATAAAAAAATAATAATAATATTTTTTATTTGACCACAGAGATCGGAGTAATGGCTGGCTTGACCACAGTTTTATCGTTATCTCGGGAAAACAAAGTTTTGTTATCTCGAGGTCTCGAGAAAATTAACTCGTCATCACGGGAAAACGGAGGAAATAAAATGTATGAATGCATGGCCCTTTAGGGCTTCCGTAGATTATATTATAGGTTACTATAATTATATTAATTATAGTAACCTATAATTACTGATACCTTCTATATCCACTCTGCTAGACAGGTGGAAATAGAACTTCCACCTCACCTGTTGGCAACTCACCTGTGGCTGCCTACGGACTATTGTCCTGCCATGTCCACCGTAAGTCTATAGCAATTGTTGGCCAAATCAGGTGTTCCCGAGAGACATTTCAGGGACAGAAATTTCACTCTCACTATTTTCATCAGTGCAGCAGGCAGCTGTTTTCATAAAAAAAAGCCCTAAAATCCCACTGTACACTATCTGCCCAGCAACAAACAGGTAGACATAAACATGACTCCAAATGAATGATAATGTTGTTCTATGTCTGGTTGTTATGTTAATAGGAAACTGTTCTTGCAAATCAGGCCTATATCTGATCACTGAGCTCCAAAGGATCAGATGATAAATTTCCCATTTTTATTAAGCTATTACAAGTATCAAAAAAAGAAAACACATATCAAACCCTCACAAACAACATTTTGCAGTCAACATACCCGTTCATTTCCCAGATTCAGGTCTGCAAAGGTGTATTTCTCTATGGCATCTGAAGTAAAAAAAAAAAAACATCAGGAAAAACACAGTGAAATCAGTGCTTATTCAACCATAAATTTACTCAAAGCTGAATGATGTGCTTTTTCTGTGTGAAATACCTTGGTGGGGCTTGCACCGTGTGGCTCTGAAACACAACTTGGCTCTTTCTCTGCTGATGAGTTTACAGTCTGGAGGGGAAGAGGGCGACAGAGAGATTGATACTGACATCAAACAGGTTTGTCTTGGGGAAAATATCATGTTAGCTTTGTATAGATGCCTGTAATGCATTCATGCTGAACTGTCAATGTCCAGTGCAAGCAGCCACTCTAAGACTGCATGATATGTAGATTAACTGGGTCAGAGCATCGCCAAAACTGCTTCTTGTGGGGTGTTCCCAGTCTGCAGTTGTCAGTATCTATCAAAAGTGCTCCAAGGAAGGAAAAGTAGTGAACCGGCAACAGGGTCATGGGCCAAGGCTCAGGTGGTCATAATGTTATGGCTGATCGGTGTATGATAGAACTAGATATAGCGACATAACTCAGCCTTATTGCAGCAAAAAAATTAAGCATTTCCCCCATAGACTCACATTATATTTAATTATAATGTAATGTTTGAGGGCCCGTGCAGGAGAAACACTACTGTTCATAGTCAGTGGGCCACATAACCAGGAAGTAAACCTGGAAGCTAGAAAACTTTTTTGGGGCATGCACAAGGCGAATATGGGATATTGGATTGAATAGGCGTGATGTTGGCATTCAGGAGTTTAGAAAAGAATAGATAAGTGACCAGCCGTCACTGCTCAAAGGGAAGATGGAAAGTGTGGGAGTGGACCAACAACTGGCTGTATGGACAATAGATTATCTCAGCAACAGACCACAGTATGTGAGGCTCCAACACTGTGTGTCTGACGTTGTGCTCTGCAACACAGGTGCCCCTCAGGGTACGGTGCTCTTTCTCTTCCTCTTGGATGGTAAATGGACCTGTACTTGTATAGCGCCTTTCTAGCCTTCCGACCACTCAAAGCGCTTTTACACTACGTGCCACATTCACCCTTTCACACATTCACTCAGTGATGGCAAAGTCCATCGAACAGAAACTAACATTCATACACATTCACACACCGATGCACGGCATCGAGAGCAATTCGGGGTTCAGTATCTTGCTCAAGGATACTTCGACATGTGGCACCAGGAGCTGGGGATCGAACCCACAACCTTCCGATTAAGGAACGACCCGCTCTGCCTCTGAGCCACAGCCGCCCTCCCTCTTCACCCTTTACACCTCGGACTTGACCCACAATTCCACACTCTGCCATATCCAGAAGTTCTCAGACACAGCCATTGTTGGATGCGTTTCTGAGGGGAACGAACTGGAATACAGGACTGTCATCAGGGACTTTGTCAGCTGGTGTGAGCTCAACCAGCTTCAGCTAAACACTAGCAAGACGAAGGAGATGATTGTTAACTTCAGGAGGAAAACATTCCACTTCACCCCGGTGAACATCCAGGGACTGGACATTGAGGTGGTAGAGAATTACAAATTCCTGGGTGTTCACCTCAATAAAAAACTGGACTGGACTGACAACACCCATGCTCTCTACAAGAAGGGCCAGATTCGCCTTCACCTACTGAGGAGACTGAGGTCCTTCGTAGTAAGCAGAGCTCTCCTCAAGACTTTTTATGACTCTGTGGTGGCTTCAGCCATCTTCTATGCTGTGGTCTGCTGGAGAGGGGGCAGTACGGACAGGGACAGGAAGAGACTCAATAAACTGATCAGGAGAGCGAGCTCTGTCCTGGACTGTCCTCTGGACTCCATTGAGGAAGTGGGTGAAAGGAGGATGTTAGTGAAGCTGACATCCATCATGGACAGCACCATTCACCCCCTACATGACACTGTGGGGTCCCTGAGTAGCTCCTTCAGCAGCAGACTGTTACACCCAAGGTGTAAGAAGGAGAGGTTCCGCAGGTCTTTCATCCCTGCCGCTGTCAGACTCTACAATACCTGATCAATGTTGTAGTTTCTGTTTTTCAAATTACCACCATACCATAGCTTTACTACTTTACCATAGTTTTTTATATCTGTATTTATTTTTTTTCACGTAATTGCTGACAAGGGGATTTCCCCGTTGTGGGATTAATAAAGTAATACAAACAAATTAAAGTGAGATTATTTTATCATACATACTATTGGTTAAAGGTGATGGTAACACTTTATAATGAGTACACACTATTAAGCATTAGTTAAGCCTGAATAAAAAATAAAATCATTTATAACGCATGAATACACATTAGTATGTAGTTTATAAACAAAAATGTTTATTCATCATTGATAAGCACATTAGTTATGGATTAGTAAATACTGAATTCATCATTTATAAAGCATGATTCTGCTGTAGTCATTACTATGTGGTTTATAGTCACAGTTATAAATGTTTTACTCTTCATTGTACTGTACATTTCTGCTTGCACTTGCACATCCACTATTCAGACATGTATTAATGATTAGTGACTGTGTTAGCAGATGTTCTATACAAACTCACAACAAATTTATTTTCTAATGATGGCCTACAAACAGTTATTAATGCAGGAATTCATGAATTGAGGCAGTTACAAAGCACTTACTACTCGTTAATTAAGTATTTTGCGCGAGCTAATCTAAAGTGAGCATTATCTATGGCTTATTAAGCATTTACAAATGAGATATAAAGGCTGACAATGCCTCGAGACTCACAAAATGTTCAGTTATCTTAACAGACGAAGGAGAGACACAACACAAAGGGATATAGAACGTATTGGATTGAAATTTACTGCAACTTCCCAACATATTGTATGAAGACGAACAAGGGTGGTTTATGAAGACATGCTATTGTTGTGATCTTATCTGTTTGGGACGTGTACGTTGAGCTTGCAATCCCGCCCTCAGCACATCATCAACGTGATGGCGGTGGGAGGCGGGATGTTACGTCATATTTACGTTAACTCTCAGAAGTTTCTGACAGTGCAGCCAAGGGGAGCATGGAGAAGCACATTGGAGTCGGCAGCCGTCAGTGGCACTAGTGGTGAGTATGTGTCTTTGTTTGGTAGCACACATTATGGTTGAAAGCTAACGTTAGCTTGTCAGCAGCTGCAGGTGTTTGCCCTCGCTCCCCGACTAACGTTACTAACGTTACCGACCCGCCCGCGGTGGCTAAGCCGACCTAGTCTAGTCTCGTCTAGCCGGGCGAGGTGAGTGCCTAGCAGCGGCAGGCAACCATAATGTGTGCTACCAAACAAAGACACATACTCACCACTAGTGCCGCTGACGGCCGCCGAGCCGACTCCAATGTGCTTCTCCATGCTCCCCTTGGCTGCACTGTCAGAAACTTCTGAGAGTTAACGTAAATATGACGTAACATCCTGCCTCCCGCTCTCAGCACGTTGATGACGTGCTGAGAGTGGGACTGCAAGCTCAACGTACATGTCCGAAACAGATAACATCACAACAATAGCATGTCTTCATAAACCACCCTTGCTCGTCTTCATACAATATCTTGGGAAGTTGCAATAAATATCAATAAAATATGTTTTATATCCCATTGTGTTGTCTCTCTTTCGTCTGTTAAGATAACTGAACATTTTGTGAGTCTCGAGGCATTTCAATTCGATTCAATTTTATTTGTATAGCGCCAATTCATAACAGAAGTTATCTCAGGACACTTTTCAAATAGAGTAGGTCTAGACCGAACTCTTTAAAACATTTGACAAACATTGTCAGCCTTTATATCTCATTTGTAAATGCTTAATAAGCCATAGATAGTGCTCACTTTAGATGAGCTTGTGCAAAATACTTAATTAATGAGTAGTAAGTGCTTTGTAACTGCCTCAATTCATGAATTCCTGCATTAATAACTGTTTATAGGCCATCATTAGAAAATGAATTTGTTGTGAGTTTTTATAGAACATCTGCTAACACAGTCACTAATCATTAATACGTGTCTGAATAGTGGATGTGCAAGTGCATGCAGAAATGTACAGTACAATGAAGAGTAAAACATTTATAACTGTGATTATAAACCACATAGCAATGACTATTTACAGCAGAAACATGCTTTATAAATGATGAATTCAGTATTTACTAATCCATAACTAATGTGCTTATCAATGATGAATAAAACATTTTTAACTGTGTTTATAAACTACATACTAATGTGTATTCATGCGTTATAAATGATGAATTCAGTATTTATTCATGCTTAACTAATGCTTAATAGTGTGTACTCATTATAAAGTGTTACCGAATTGGGTAGTGCATAGACAGATTTGTTTGCTTTCACTACCAATGCTGCTGGTTTATGGGTATGGTTGATCTGCAGAGAGAGGCTCTTTTGATAGTCAAGGTTGATACAATTGAGTTACAACAACCAGCGTGGTTGAGGGAATGCGTAACCAACTAGTGAATTCAGTGGAGATTGCAGCTAATTTGTTTTTTCTATTGGGTTTTTTCAGATATTGTGAATGGTTCTGTTAAAATTCAATTAAATTACAATACATTTTATTTGTATAGCTCCAATTCATAAAAGAAGTTATCTCAGGACACTTTTCAAATAGAGCAGGTCTAGACCGAACTCCTTATAACAACAAATGGAGACCACAGCTGTGCTCACCACTCATGCTGCACTTAATAAAAAATAAACTTAATAGACCATGGAAAAAATCAAACAGACAACTCTGCGTGCCTGACACACCTTTATCCTTGGCTGGGTTGATACACTTGTGGAGGCGCCAGTGCTGACTGCTGCTGGACACCTGGACGATGTGAAACTCACGCACGCCAGCTTCACTCTAGGAGCCAAGAGGAGGTAGAGTAAAACAAAGTTTGAGCAGTGATAGGTTGTTCAACATGATAGCAAAAGCAAAAAGCTGCTGCTACTGTAAGTGTGTACTGGAGGTGTGAGGCATGTTATGTATTTCACCGTATTGATGTTCTCCACATCAATGAAGACCATAGCTCCACCGTCGCCTTTGTCATCCAGACTGTGATGTAGAGGAACACTGCTGCGGCAGGCTGATGCCTGCACACTCAGAGACCGACTGGCGCAGATAAACACTGTGTGACGCAACACCCGATGACTTCAAATGAGGAAAGAGAAAAGATTAATAGATAATAGAGATTCAATTAAATCAAATTTTTCATTTCAATTTTATCTGTATAAGACCTTTATTAATCCCCAGGTGCAGCAACATCAAAAGAAGAATAAAATACAGGAGGGGTACAGATAAGAGAACAGAAACCAAACCATTATTAAGAATAAATAAAAATATAAATTTGAAAAAAGAAAGAAAAGCAAAGGTAAGGCCATCCTTTATATGTACATACAAGAAATAGTGCCAAATCATAATCAAGTATCCCTGAGCCAGATACTGAACCCCAAATTGCTCCCGATGCTGTGTATCAGTGTGTAAATGTGAGTTAGTTAGTTGAGTGAACGAATTAGCTAGTTTCTGTTCGATGGGCTATCAGTGTAGCTTTTCACTCGAATGCATTGGCATTTGAGTGCACAAGAGAGAGTGATTTTTAGGGATTTTCTACGCTCCACTGATAAGAAATGTGTTCTCTCCAAACTGACAAATGTTGCAAGCAGCAGATCATATCAGCTATTGCTAATAAACGTTCATTGCGCAAGTTGCTTGGGTGTTGTCAGGTTTGGGTGCTCTATCGAATCATGTCGTGTCAATTTCAAGAGTTGCTTTTTATGTTCCACTTTATTCCATATCATTAATTTTAAGCTTATAAAAAGGTGATAGCTTTGAACCAGGGCATTCAGTTTTGGGATAAAGTAGCTTGCAAAAAAAAGCTGTGCCAAATTCAGTTCTACACCTGTTCCTTCTCCTCAAATACACACCACTCATCAAACCTGTGAAACCTGCTGTAAGAATTGTTAAAGTGTGGCCAGAAGGAGCTGACTACTACTACAGCACTGGTTTGAAAACACAGACTGGAGTGTGTTTGCCACTCAGGCCACCCTGGACTCACACACTGACATAGATACATATGCCTCCTCTGTTCTGGACTACATAAACACCAACCATAAACAGATCACAACGTTCCCTAATCATAAGCCGTGGATGAACCGGGAGGTCCGCCTCCTGCTGAAGGCACACAACACCGCTTTTAGATCTGGTGATGCGGAAGGTTACAGTACATCCAGTGCTAACCTGAAGAAAGGCATCAGGAAGGCCAAGCTAAGGGTAGCTTGTGGCGTCGCCTCCTTGTCAGATGAGCTCAATAGCTTTTATGCTCGCTTTGACAGGGAGAACCAGGAGCCATCAAGGCTGCGCTCCCTGCAGACCACCAACCCCTCACACTTTCCCTCACCGTCGTGTGTGCTGCTCTGAGCAGGACTAATGCACAGAAGGCTGCTGGTCCTGATGGCATCCCTGGACGTGTGCTCAGGGCCTGTGCTGGACAGCTGACTGAGGTCCTGACAGACATCTTCAACCTGTCACTGGCCCACCATGTAGGGACACGTGCTTCAAAACCACATCCATCGTGCTGGTGCCCAAACACTCAACTGCAGCGAGCCTCAATGACTTCCGCCCTGTTGCACTCACCCCTACCATCATGAAGTGCTTCGAGAGGCTGGTCCTGGCTCACCTCAAAACCAGCCTACCACCCACACTGGACCCCCTCCAATTCACCTACCACCAGAACAGGAGTACAGAAGATGCCATCTCTAAAGCGCAACACTCCACCCTCTCCCACCTGGACAACAGTAACACCTATGTGAGAATGCTGTTCATTGACTTCAGTTCAGCATTCAACACCATCATCCCCTCTGGTCTGATCACCAAACACGACCTTGGCATCAACACCTCCCTCTGCAACTGGATACTGGACTTTCTAACCAACAGACCCCAATCTGTTTGGTTACACAACCACACCTCCTCAACCCCAAACCTGAACACCGTGTCCCACAGGGCTGTGTGCTGAGCCCCCTCCTCTACTCCCTCTTCACCCACGACTGCACACCTGTACATGGCTCCAACACCATCATCAAGTTTGCGGCCGACACAACGGTGATTGGCCTCATCACTGACAACAATGAGTCAGATTACAGGGAGGATGTCCAGCACCTGGCGACCTGGTGCGTCAACAACAACTTGGCCATCAACTCCAAGAAGACCAAAGAGATCATTGTGGTCTTCAGAAATACCAATGGCGGAAAACACACCCCCATCCGTATCAACAGAACCGAGGTTGAGCGTGTCTCCAAATTCAAGTTTCTGGGTGTCCACATCTTCAAGGACCTCTCTTGGACCATGAATCACCTCAACCCTGATCAAGAAGGCTCACCAGCATCTCTTCTTCTTAAGGAGACTCAAGAAGGCCCATCTGCCTCCTCAGATTCTGATGAACTTCTACCGCTGCACCATCGAGAGCATCCTTAACAACTGCATCAAATTGCTCTGCATCGGACCTGAGGGTGGTGAAAACTGCCCCACAAATCACCGGTTCACCTCTCCCCACCATTAAGGCTGTCCAGAGCAAGCAATGTCTACGGAAGGCGTGCAAGCATTGCTAGGGACACCTCGCTATAGGTCTCTCCGTTCCAGAAGTAGCAGGCTCGGGAACAGCTTTTTCCACATCAGCTGTCAGCGAGCTAAACTCTGCATCAAGACCTCCCTTCCCTCCTTAACTCCCACTTAACTGTCTTTCTTTCTGTGTTTTTCCATATCTACCTATATTGTATTCATAACTACCTACAGTGTAATCATATCTAGCTGTCTGTATATAATGTCAATCTCATCACTGTAAATATCTTAACTGCCATATCTTATTATCTTATCTCTATCTTAGTGTATTCACCTCACTCTGTTCATTCTGTTAATACTGTTGAAAATGTAAATATCCTGCCAGTATATTCATATGTATATCTATAATGTTATTATTAGTTTTTTTAGATATTTTTTGTACGTATGCACATTACTCTGCATTTTACTGCTTTGCACTTCTGGTTAGATGCATTAAGTGCATTTCGTTGCCTAGTACCTGTACTTGTGCAATGACAATAAAGTTGAATCTAATCTAATCTAATAATCTAATTACAGGATCAGATCTGACACGGCAGAAATTATTATTATTTCCCAGATAAAATGGGTTACCCCCAGGCTAGCTTCTTAAAAATAAATAAATATAAAAATGACCCAGTCTTTTGAACGGCTCTTTGAAAGGAACGACTCCTCAAGATCCGGCTCCCTTCAAAGAGCCATAAATCCCATCTCTTATTACTGAAAACAGCCGACTGTGACAGCGCCACCTGTCACTCAAAGTGGCCACACCCTTAATTACGCATAATTTTAAGCCTTGATTTAAAAGGGCGAGTTATATAAAAATGCACACCCCGTACAGTATAGTCATGAATTGGGAAATTAGCTATAGAGTTTTTTATTTTTTATATCAGGCGTTAAACTTGTTTATTTCTGCTGCAAAGTTGGGCATTTTAATAAGGTGGCTGTTTGAGTAACTGCTGTTTTTGTTTCTTCCATTTGGGCAACATTTGCCAGTCACAGAGGTTGCCGCTTGGGACACAATCCCATACAGTATGGACTATGACTCAAAAAGCTTTAATTAATAAAGCGATGAAGTCCTGTCATAGCCATGTCAATGCAATAAGCGTTGCAATGCAGAGAATCATTGTTTGCATTGAGTGTTGCATGACTCTGGTGTTCGAATGGATGAATGAAAAAGAGATGTGCAGAAGCGTAAAAGGTGACTGAAAAGGAGATCCACTGTAGACAATATGCAGAGTGTTTATTTATTTAATTTTATGCAACCATGATAAAATAATCAACAAATTGTTGAAGTTGTGTTTATCTCCTTCACTCACTGGGGCTCCCTCTCTCCCTAACCAGTTCAATCTAGCACTCAGATTGTTTGCCCGTACTCTCTTTACTGACTTAGTTGGGATGTCAACTACAGAAGTTTGTCTTTTATGTAACTAAATGTCAGATTCCCGTCTAAATTAATTCTAGTGGCACCCAGTGTTTACTTTCCCTGAAGTGGAAATGGGCTGTATGATAAAATGTGTGCACAAATTTTACTGAAACATTTTTCAGACATTTTGGTGGTGCATGTGTGTGAGCCCTTATTGCCATAAGACACCGGGTGGTATATATTTATATATATTTTGTGTAACCTAAATCTGCTCCATAATGATCATATTTATTAATTATATGAGTTTTTCCTTTGTGATAAAAGCTGCTAATGTTTATATTAAAACATCATACAGCAAGCCTGCATGCCAATTCACATCCCTTCAGATTACTTTTTAAACATTTTTACCTGATTTTGTTTCCTTTGCTTGTGCTCTCATAGTAGAAGAGAAAATTGATTTCATGAACTCCCTCCTGGTCTGGTCCTCTGAGCCAGAGAGGCAGCTGGGTGGACTCTCCCGGTTGCAGTGTGCAGCCATCTATTGGAATCTCCATCACACCTGATGACTGGCTGAAATCTTCAGCTGAAACCAAAATCTCAGATGCCACTAAGCCTGGCTCGGGGGCTGTGGCCAAGGTTTTATAGGCTGAGCAGTTTTCAGCTGAGGTCGGGCTGAGGGGTGTTGTGGCCTGACTCCCAAAAGTGAAGAAATCAGGGTGTGTGGACACCACTCGAAGGCCGCACAAAGCAACACTGCTGACATTACAGAACTCAACATAGGCCTTTCTGATCTCACCACACAGAAGAGCAGTGGGAAATTGCAGGAAGAAGACCTGACATACACACACACAGACACACAGACACACACACACACACACATCATTGGTATTAGGCATGGGACAATATGAAAATAATTATATTATAATTATCTGGGCCAAGATAATGCCATACACGATATTATCACAATAATTATGAAAATATACTTCATACTTTCACTAAGAACATACTGGAATCACTTTACCTTACATTTTGTTTAGAAACACATAAGTATTGCATCACACAGTTATTACTACTTGCTATGTTTTATATATCTACTGCTTTGTATTTTGCTAACACAATCCTTCTATAGTTACTGTGGTTGGCATTGTACTGTTATTCAGACTGGGAAGTGGCTTGACACCAATGACAGCTTGATCCGGTTGTCACCTCATCTCAAACTACATTTATAGTTAGACAAACACTATATCAGAAGTCGCATTTAAACTGCTACTGATAAATATTTTTGAGCTGAGCTCATAGTAATATCATTGTTGAACTGTGTCTATCAGAAACACCATTAAAGGACAGCTGGGATGCCTGCTCAACAGTGGTCAGAAATATTGAAAGTGAAATGGCATTCCTTATTTTCAAGTGGATCAAGCGTGCTTTATTATGTAGTATTATGTAGTAACATAACGTAAATTGCATTTAATGCTTATTAAATGACTCAGACCGAGTTTGGGGGCAATAAAAACTCGATTGGGACATCCTTGGTCTTTAGATTTGCCACACTACTCGCATTGCAGGATGGGATGAGCGTCTCTACAGTTAGTGAGTCAGTGGTACCTCCATTAGGGGCATGGGTGGTGTTATGATGGGATCCAGACGTAGATCCGGACCATGTCGAACAGACATCTTGTCTTCTTTGGTCTGGTTGAGTCGAGGGCCACGGATCTTCAGTTCCTGTCTGCCACGAACCACCATCAAATCCGATGTCTGCTGGTCTGTAGACAGGAAGAAATCCACACTGTGTGTAAGTGTCGCAAAACAACTTTGAGGTTACAAAAGCACAATAGGATCCATCTGGACTTCAATCTATGCTTTTGTAGCCAGTACACTCATACCGAACCAGTCAGCGTCCTTTGTGGAAAAACTGGCTGCTAGGCAGGTGGGCGCAAGTTGTGACACAGCAAGAAGCTGTTCGGTAAATAACAAAGTAAGCGTTTGACTATGTTATATGGTTCAGTGGGTAACAAACCATCTGTCCTAACATAGTAAATCCAAGTACCAAAAACAAGTACATCCAAATACCAGTACATGTCATACATATTACATATCAGACCTTCTACTGACCAAAATGAGAATGAACTTACACTAAAGCAGCAAACAATGATTGAAGCACGTGTGTGCAATACCTTCAGTGCTGGTAGCCATCTCTCCAGAGGAGGCTGCAGCGAGGCTGTACACCACACCCACAATGTTCAGCTGACCTGTTCTGTGCGGTAGCAGCCTGAGTCGAGCCTGAGATCAAAAGATCACAGTGACTGTTAACAGCACAACAGTCCCTCTGAAATTGATAATCTTGTTGATAGTGCTGCAGGCTCATTTCGAAGAACATTAGATTCTATCGCTCCTATAAAAAGGAAATTATTAAAACATAGGAAACTAGCACCGTGGTACAGCCACCAAACCCGCCAATTAAAGCTAGGAAATCTGAAAGGAAATGGCGCTCTTCCAAACTATCAGAATATCGCTCAATTTGGCATAATAATCTTAAAACCTATAGAAAGGCCCTCCGTAAGGCCAGAGGAGCCTATTATTCTGCACTAATAGAAGAAAATAAGAGTAACCCCAGGTTCCTCTTCAGCACTGTAGCCAGGCTGACAGAGAGTCACAGCTCTACTGAGCCAAATATCCCCGTAAACTTAAGTAGCAATGACTTCATGAGGTTCCTTTATAATAAAACTATTACTATTAGAGAGAAAATTAATCACCAACTGCCATCAACAGCTATCAGTGGCTCTCCAAGTCCAGGAACTCTAACTAATGTAAACTCAGATATATATTTAGACTGTTTTTCTGCTATCGATCTTCATCAGTTAACTTCAATCATTTCTACATCGAAGCCATCAACCTGTCTGTTAGACCCAATCCCAACTAGGCTGCTTAAAGAAGTCATACCCTTAATTGGCACTTTTTATTGGATATGATTAATCTTTCTTTATTATCAGGATATGTACCACAGTCCTTTAAAGTAGCTGTAATTAAACCCCTTCTTAAAAAGCCCACTCTTGACCCAGGGGTTTTAGCCAACTATAGACCGATTTCTAACCTCCCCTTCCTCTCTAAGATTCTGGAGAAAGTAGTCGCCAAAGAGTTGTGTGACTTTTTACATAACAATAGTTTATTTGAGGATTTTCAGTCAGGATTTAGAGTTCATCACAGCACAGAGACAGCTCTGGTTAAAGTTAGTAAAGACCTTGTGATTGCTTCAGACAATGGACTTGTCTCTGTACTTATATTATTAGATCTTAGTGCTGCATTTGACACCATTGACCATAATATTCTTTCACAGAGACTTGAGCATCAAATTGGCATTAAAAGGATCCGCACTAAGCTGGTTTAAGTCATATTTATCAGATCGTTCGCAGTTTGTACATGTTAACGATGAATCTTCAATAAATACTACAGTTAGTCATGGAGTTCCACAAGGTTCTGTACTTGGACCAATACTATTTACTTTATATAGGCTCCCCTTAGGCAACATTATTAGGAATTTGGAAGTTTTGAAGCTAATATTCACTTTGTGTATGGAGGGAACACACCATTAGCCTTTGAGAGTCATGTGAGTACCTTACCATTTTGGTCTCCTCTGAACCCATATTAAACTCTGGGATAACCTCTGTTGTGACAAGGTCATCTTTCTGTGTAATCTGCAGGAGTAAAAAGATATGGAACGGATCATGAAATTCTTAGTTTTGTTTTTTATTGCATCTATGCAACAAATTAAAAAACAATCACAATTTTTAAAAGGAAATTTGCCCAGGTTGCCCACCCCTAGAGCGAGGTTCTCCTCATTAGTGATGGACAACTCTTCAGTCGTCTTCTCCTTTGATGGAGATGCACAATCAGCAGTGAACCTCCAGACAAGTGAGAGGTTAGACAGGGACAGAGAAACCTTTAGAGGGTTCCTGAACGTCACCTCCACTATAATTGGTTCTGCAGAGAGAGACACAAAGAGGGCTGTACATTAAGCAAGCACAATTCAGTACAATTTAATTGCATTGTAATGGGATGGCTCATTATTTAACTTCTTCTTTATAGTACAACAAGCAAACTGTTAAAACTGTATGTTAGAAAACCTAAATATCTAGTACTTAGGTGCAGACTAAAACTAAGTAATAGTCTACGGTAAGAGCCACTCAGAATTGCTGGAAGGGCCTGTCATGGACCAACTGGCAATTCTAGGCAGCTACACTGAGGACCTCTTACCCTCCACCACAGCCAGTGGGTGGCGCAGGTTGTCTGTTTGGCTATTCAGGCAGCACTGGGTGGTCTGGAAGTTAACTGGGACAATTCCCCGGTTGGCGGCAGCCACAAGCTGCTCCTCTAGGTGGCACCACATGGCTGCCAAATCCTGGTCATACTCCTGGTCCAGGGACACATGAGTGGCTGCCTGCTTTTCGCCTGCACAAATTAGAATCAAAAACTGATAATTAATACAATAATGATAACAATATAATAACAATAACAATTAAAGCTGCAAGCAGCGTTGAGCGGGACCTCGCACTCCACGCAACTCAGGGCGTGCTGCGGCCGCGTCGCGTACCGTCGTTACACGTGCGGACCAAAACATGAAATTTCACGTAAATCAGCTCAAAACTGCCATGCAGCGCTTACTTCCTGTTGCCAGTAGGTGGCGCTATCACTATGTCTTAATATTGTCATGTAGAAAAGTTCAGGGCGGGACTGTTGTAACACACCTTAAGTTTCATTGAGATTGGACCACGTACGCTGAAGTTATGAGGACGTGTTCAGGGCGAGACTGTTTCAGAATATATGAAGTTTATTGGAGATTGGACATTGCACACTGAAGTTATGAGTACTATTTTATGGCGAATCTGCTGAAATGGACAAGTTGTCACTGGCACGCGGTTTAATGTACAGTCACAGCTCAACTTTTCTATCAGTTTGTATGACGACAGAATTCAAAGTGGCCAACTTTGACCTCACGCCACAGACACGCCGTTCAACGTACAGTCTCAAATAGCACAGCTTTTAATCAGCACCATTTTATGACTGTACTGACCAATTTTGAAGCAGATCCGATAAATTCCCTAGGAGGAGTTCGTTCAAATACAAGGCGAAAAATTCACCAAAAACGCGCACGGAATTCACTATGGCCAACTTTGAGGGCACGCCATGGACACGCCCTTCAACATACATGCACAAATAGCACAACTTTTAATCAGCACCATTTTTTGACTGTACTCACAAATTTTGAAGCATATCCAATAAATTCCCTAGGAGGAGTTTGTTCAAATACAAGGTGAAAAATTCGCCGAAATTGAAAATGAAATGAAAATCAAAATGGCCGACTTCCTGTGGGGTTTCGGGTATGGGTCCAAGAGGCTTTTTTGTACGTCCCGGCATGTTACACGTGCCTACCGAGTTTCGTACATATCGGTGAAACGTGGCGCCGGGGCTGCTGTTTTCTTATCCTGTAGGGGGCGCTACAAACATGACAAACACGATTTTTGGTATGTGAGCTTCAGGCACCACTCTAGACGTGCCCTGTGAATTTCACAGCGGGCGGCTGTGGCTCAGAGGCAGGGCGGGTCGTTCCTTAATCGGAAGGTTGTGGGTTCGATCTTACTTAACCCCAAACTGCTCCCGATGCCGTGCATGAATGTGTATGAATGTTAGTTTCTGTTCGATTAACTTTGCCATCACTGAGTGAATGTGTGTGAAAGGGTGAACTTCTTCATTTTAAAGACCGCTACCTAGAGGCGATGGCATGAAATTGTGCACGATGCCTAAGGAAGACATGTGGAACTAAGGACCCAAGTTTGATGTCAATCGGACATACCAATGTGGAGAAATGGTCCACTTCCTTTTTTGAAGAAAAATCTACAGGAAGTTAGAATTTTATAGCATTCTTATTTTTTAAAATTTCAAAAATTTTCAAATTACTCTTTTTGCCAGGGCGGTCCCCAGGTGCTAGGTGAAAAATTTCGTGCGAATCAGACAAAGCGTGTAGGAGGAACACGAAAAAGTAGTTTAAGGACATTTCGCGCTCTAACGATTATAGGCATGGCTTATATGGGGAGATTCAGCTCCATTCACCGAACGCGTGGATACAAGTTTTTTTAATGTGCGACAAACTATGCAGAAGTTATTAGCCTAAACGCATTTTTTATGATAGTAGCGCCACCTAGTGGCCAACCCGGAAGCGACGCATAGAATATAACATTTTTCACTAGGCCTGACCACTTTGCCAAATAAAATTGACTTTTCGTATATGTTCAGGGGGCAAAAACGCAATCAAAAGTGCTAAAAATAATAATAATAATAGGGAAGAAGAAACAGCAAAAACAATAGGGACCTCCAGCGGTCACTGGCTCGGTTCCTCCTCAGAGCCCAGAGTAACAGAAAACCTTTGCACCGAGGCATACATTGGTTAATATATCACTGTTCATAAATAAGGTAATGTTGGTCAGACATCACTAGTATAGCCATGTATATTTTGGTACTATATAAGAGGGTGTCTGTAGGGTTTAACGACTTCAATTTAAAGCTTTGTAAGACCTTATTTAGAATGCAACCTTTGCAATAACTATATCGGCTAATATGGCCTAGAATTATTTATTATTTTAACACATTTGTAACACTACTGCGTCGGCTGTGGCTCAGAGGCAGAGCGGGTCGTTCCTTAATTTGAAGGTTGTGGGTTCGATCCCCGGCTCCTGGTGCCACATGTCGAAGTATCCTTGAGCAATATACTGAACCTAAAATTGCTCCCGATGCCGTGCACATGTGTGAATATGTATGAATGTTAGTTTCTGTTCGACGGACTTTGCCATCACTGTGTGAATGTGTGTGAAAGGGTGAATGTGGCACGTAGTGTAAAAGCGCTTTGAGTGGTCGGAAGACTAGAAAGGCGCTATACAAATACAGGTCCATTTACCATTTAGTGCATACCTATAAATGAAGCGAGCCTGAAAGGTAGTTCAGGCAGTCAACTTGAGCTCCATTGCTATACACACAACATGCCTCACTCCCACAATTACACACCAGGCACACCCTTCCAATTTGGCGGCCACTTAAGGTACAAAATTTTCCAGCTGTCACTCTGTCAGTGCCACTGCTGCCCCGCATCAGTATTGCTGCCTGCCTGTTCTGTAAGCCCCAACACCACCACAGCATCCACCTGTAGGCTGCAGCTAGGGGTTTTAAGGTGTTTGCTCATCACTCTCCAATAGCTCTAAGTATACATATCTGCGGGGAGTGATAAGGTCGGAGCCTAGCACCAAAATCTAACTGTTATACTGCTATAACAAACATTTCAAATGTGAGTTGTCTGACTGAACTTGAGCAAAAGACAATGAGCTTGAAACTCCACAAAAACAATCTCACTTTTAGTTAATAGTAGGGATCTACGATAATTACTGGGGCACATAAATCAGTCGATACTGGGAAATGTATATTATTATGTATTATTCCTATAATTAAATTATAGTTGAAAAATTATTGGTCAATAATAATTTATTTTGGATTCTTATGCAAAACCTTTGATACACTTTATGTTCTAAGAAAGCTGATGAACTGAATTATAAAAAACAAATGACTATTTGAAGAGCCAGAACTGTTTGTTTTTGTTGTTACCGATAGCAATAACAGATTGGGTTTGGTCAGAGCATGGTATATAAACCACTTGAAAATTCATGTAAATTGTCTATAAGAAGAGACAGCAACATTTGGACTGTACGAATCACCCCATTCAAACTTTGAGTTTGAATCTCTGTAGATTTAGAGTACCAAGGTTGAAGTGCATAGGAGTAAAAAGCCTTAGCATCTAATTTGCACATCTACTTTTAGCATCCCATTTATGCATCTTTCGCACAATTTTTTTTTTCATTGTTGTTGTTGTATTATGGTTTACTGTATATTGTATGTACATGAATTATTTTTGTCTGTACTTTGTTTTGTTGTTTCTGTTTTTTATGTTTGTGCCCCTGACAAAACAAGTTTCCCATCTGGGATAATAAAATGACTGAACTAAAATGGAAAAGGGAAACCAAATCCAGTGCTTTTACATACTATGATATGTTCCACTGACGTGGTTAAATGGCCGTGGAAATGTATTTAACTCTTTTTAATAAGGGAAAAGCTCATTTGATTTGTGGCAAGCACTAAATTGCTATCATGTGAATTACCTTGTGCAAGGCGGCGTTCATGTCCAAAGTAGACCCTTGTGGCTGAGCTGTGGATGTACGGCAGAGGCAGCTGGGGGAGGCTGACTTCATTTCCCCCTATCACACTCTGAAACACACACACACACACACACACACACACACACACACACACACACACACACACACACACACACACACACACACACACACACACACACACACACACACACACACACACACACACACACACACACACACACGCGATTCAATGGATGAGAGAGTTGTTAATGTGATATCAAAGAAGGGCTCCTATGTTAATATGTAACTCGATCTTTAAAGTAAGTTTTAGTAAGAAAAAGAAGAAAAACAGTATATGCATAATAATTTGGAACAGTGTAGATGTTGAGCAGAAATTAATGGGGCCTTGGAGAAACTATGTAGTTACAGTTTGACACAAAGTAGTCCTGATCCAGTAAAGTCAGCAATTACATACTTGTTACCTTGTAAACATAGAGATACTCTCTGAGAAAGGCGCCCTGCTGTGTGGCTGTCTGCCTGCTGTCATTGGTCAGGATCTGTCTGAAGGCTATTACAGCATTCTCTGGTTGGCGAAGTGTGAAGGACTGGCGGCCGATTGTAAAGTTGATATGGTCCTCTGCCAAAGACCAGCCCCTCTCTTTGTACACCTGCATGGCTTGGCAGTAACAGCGCAGTGCATGTCTCCTCTTCATATAGAACAGTTGAGAGGGTGTGGGACAGGAGAAAGAAGTGGTTGTGAGGTACATAAGACAACCAACAAGGATCAGAAAATAAGAGGAAGATAAATAAAGAGGAGTGTGTGGACAAGAAAAGTTTTATTAAAATGCCCCATTTGTCAGGTCATTAGTCAGGTTTCATAATAGACCACTTAATCCACCTGACCTGAATATCAATCTTGTTTGGCTTTCAAAACTCCAGCATGGCAAAGCCTGACCAGAGTTGCTTGCTGAAGGATGCTGACTCGAGTCAAGCCCAAAAAGAGTTATTTTTTCACCACCATCCTTTTCATTTTTTTTTTTACCAAAAAATGTTGATGTCCCTAACAAAATATAATGCTGACATAAAAAGTTAGTGTTGTGGAGCTCAGTCCAATCCACTTTGTTTGTTTCCCATTTAAAGAACCAGGGCCATGCACAACCGCCAGATTTTTGCCCCCACAGAGCAGAAAGCTATGGACTGTAAGGAGATGACTGAATTTGAAAAATGTGTATTGGATTAGAATGATATTACCTAGAATTGCTGACCTCACCTTTAAAGATGGAACTTTGGCAGAAAAATAAATATGGTTGGCATGGTTATGAGAACTGTAAGGTATAAATGGGACAAATGGAGTGTCACACCCACTTTGTCACATTAACTCATTCACAGATCCTGGGAACCAATGTTTGGTTAGACCACATAGATCAGTGATGGTTGATAGGCTCACCTGTCCTGCTTTGCTGAAACGATGACCAGCCAGGATCATATGGAAGGCAAACTTGCGCACCATAGGGTTACGCATATTAATAAAGCAGTGGGCAGCCTGTTCCAACAGCAGAGCACTGCGCAGGTCAGAGTCCTGGACAAATAAGTATAACAAAGATCCAAGCAGAATTAATCCACAGCATTTTTCTTGATAATTCTACTAATAATAAATTATTAAATATTAATTATTCCATCCATCCACTGACATAAAAAAGTAGAATAGTTCATGGAGTTTCTCTCTAGATTTACAACTGAAAACAGTTGGGAACAGCTGTTTCCACAATACTCAGTATTCTCATCTGGAAGTTAGGTTAACCTATTTTCTGTTTTGCAGTGCCTGATGTTGACCACTGATTTTACACACTTTGTACATTGCATTGTGGAATAATTTGTGTCCGCTATATAAGGTATAACAATTCTCTTTTCGACATCACTACAAAAACAGCCAACGCACTACTGATACAGTACATTTATTTCACAGGTCAGCAATTTATCACAGTGTGATGTTGCTCAGGAGGTAGAGTGGGTCATCCACTAATCAGAAGGTTGGTGGTTCCAGCCCCGGCACTTACGGTTTATGATTCACTGTATGAATGTGTGTGAATGGGTGAATGCGGCATGTAGTGTAGTGCTTTGAGTGGTCAGAAGTCTAGAAAGGCACTATACAAGTACAGTCCATTTAGTTTTACCTGTGCATATGATAACTACAGAAATATGGTGTACATGCATCCCTGTTTTTTAACAGTGGATTGAAAACAATGTGGGTTTTCTCACCTCACTGGTCATCTTAATGAGAAGAGTTGCAGCCTCTGAGTATTTGCCCTGACTCTTGAGTATCTCAGCACTGAGTAAAGCACAGCGCTCAGCCAGCACCATGTTTCTGCACAGGGAGAACATGCTGGATAAAAGCCACAGACACTGACAACTGCCACAGACAAAAATAATTTCTAAGAGGATAACCGAAACTGAACTGGAATATTCTGATTAACTCATTACTCTGGTAGCCTGAGTTAATGAGTTTAGAACAATTTAATGTGTCTTAGGGAACGTAACTACAACAACTACAAATTAATAATTTACAGTGACACTGCAATAGCACAACAGCCTGACTTTGAATTGAAACAGCAGAGTTTTAAAAATGAAGTAATTAGGTCATACTTGCAGACATCTCTGTACGTTTGTATGGCGGTGTCCATGTAGTGTGCTGGATATGGTCTGGGAGCTCCAGCCTGCAGAAAGGCTGACACTGCAGCCATTTCCTACAGAGGATGTCAGGATGAATAGAGGGAACATGGACAGACAAATGGAGTAATCAAGAAAGGAAGAGGTTACAATAGAAAATTGAGGAAAATGAACATCATGATTATGATTTAACATGCATTAACATAAAAGTGCCCATGCTGCATATTGTTTGTGGAGAAGTTTATACTTTAACAGGGTTATTTTAAATGGGAAGTTTTGACACAGTTATTATGATAGCTTCCTCTATTTTGGACCATTGTGTACCAAAAAGTTTACCAAAATTGAACTCAGCACAGACTGATTTTACTGAAATTTCACCTGTTTGCACAGTGGTTTAAATGAATAAGAATGTAAAAAAGAACCAGTGTCACCAATGAAGATTACAAGCTTCACACACTGCAAAAAATCTGTGTGCATTACTGACAGATATTGTCATCTAAAGTTTTGGGTTGGGCAATTAATGCTATTAACACATGGTCCCCATGAGGACAGATAGGAGGGTGTGTGTGAGTGTTTGTGTTCTTACCAGTGCCCCTGCAGCATACAGCATGGCCTGGTCTGACAGGAAGTCTTTCTTGGCAGTGTGGTAACAGCTGTAGGCCAGCTCGTAGTGCTGAACCAGGAAGCACAGGTCGGCCATTTTCCTGATCTGCAGCTCAGGGGCTTCTGGGGGATATCTGACATCATAGATGTGAAAGGTCAAACCAACAATGTATATAGTGTTTATGGCATAGCATTGTGGGAATTTATAAATGCAAGCCCTGTTGAAGTCTCAAATGAAGTGTGATGGGGGAGTAGTGATAGAAAGCTTACAGAAGGCCACATGTGCTCTTTGGTTCACTGATGCTCTTCTCTGGAACTTTTCCTCCACCAAACCACTTCTTGGTTGCAGTGAACAGAGACCGACTCAGACCTTTCCTGGAGACCAGCTGTGGACAGGGAGGATGTTGGGGTGTGTCAGGCTAAACATCACCACTCCAGTTGAGCTGACTGTTAAACAGCTAGTGTTGCTCTCATAAGCTATGAAGTTTTTAATGCAGCCATATTATTTGCAATCCGTGTATGCATACTCAGATTTGTAAATCTCAAAATACATACATATTGTGAATATGTACATTGATTACTAAATGTGCAGTAGATTTCTAAATGTGTAAAATCGATTGCCTGTCTTTTTACAAATGATTGCTAGACTCCTGCCATGCCTGAGATTTGCAAATGTGTGCAGCGATCTGTCTGTAAATCCAGGGTTTCTTCAGCTGACACTTGCAGGCTCACATCGCCACACCAACCCTTTTCACGAAAGAACATCTGCTGCCACGGGTAAGCAACCACAACAGTCAGGCAGGTTTCCATAGAGCCGTAAATGTCACTATGGTGTTCCGAACTGCTCAATGATAAGCAGAAACAAGTGTATATATACGTTGTCAGGACTCTTTTGTATTCTATTGTTGGGGGCTTGCTTGTGTTAGCATCTAACCTCTTTCTATAGACAATGTATATTATGTAACATTAGAGCCTATAAGGAACCAACACATTATTATTAACAGACTATACAGGTGACATCAGCCTGTATGTTTAACTATATTTTCATTAAGCAACCTGCACCAGAAAAATCCTGCTACAAATCTTCTACTGACAAGGAATCATCAGGAATATTATCTACAAGTTAACATGGCAAGGGATTCAATATTTGTTGAAAAAAAATTATTTTAGCACGTATAGTGTAATGCACAGTTGGAGGTTTATTCAGTTGTTGTATGTCTATCTCTGTCGATCGGTTTTGGTAGTAATTGGTTATATTTTTGGAGAAAATTGACATTTTTTAGCAGTTTTGGTAATTCACAATGCTAATTTATCACAATCAAAATGTGACTGAAAAGAGTTAAGACTTGGAATTATACCTGGTCATTAAGCTGTCTGATATTCTTCTCTATGTGTGGCAGCAGCCCTCTGAAGGTGAACTCTTGAATGAACTGTCTGATGTGGTCATGGTCATTCAGGGTCAGACATGCCCCATGACTCCCTGCTCCTCCCGCCAGAGTCTCTGGATCTCTTGCACCTTTCTTCAGGTCAGCGTTGACAGCACTGAGAGTGTGCAGGGTCCCAGAGCTGCTGGCTGTTTCCAGCTGGAGAGGATGGTTTTCCAGGCTATTGGACACTCCGTCTGGTAGGAAACAGTGTCCAAACTTAGTTACTTACAACTTAGTGACCTTTGGTCTTTATTTTATCAGAGCTTTTAAATAATATATTAAAATATCCATGTGCAGACTGATTAAAGGATATGACAGAAAATGTTCCATGTTGACTTAATGTTGTCAAGGGTTTCTTGGTGAGGCATCCTATGATCATATCTTGTCAGGCCAGACAAGTGATGGATGTTTTTTTGTGTGGGATCAGTAAAGTTTATAAAATAAAATATTTTCTTATCAATTTCCCTTCAACCTGACAACCAATCAGGTCAAATCAAAAGACTGGCAACAATGGTGTCAATTAAGAAATACTAAAAGATTTTTACTACAGTGAGGATTTCATTCAATTTTATTTGTTGCAGCCAGTGACTCCAAAGAACCCCTGTAGCACTATATGTGTGTGTGTATATACATACAGTATATTAGTATATTAAGGAGCTGACCTTTCTCTATTGAGTGATGGCAGTCAACTTCACTGATGTTGTTCTCAACAGCAGCAATGTTTACAGTTGGAGCTACATCCTCAAGCACATCCTGTAATAAGGATCCTGATGTTAGCACAAGGGACATTTTTGACAGAAGACATAACATTCATGTGTTGAGCTCTCTAGCAACCCTGGCATTACTGCTGTGGTAGATGAATGTTTTGGGTGGGGGAGTTAATGTAAAGAAACAAACTGTGTTTGTAATTGTTCAGAGAACTAGCACCTCTCCAGATTATGGAAGAATTTCCCCGACATTTGTCAATGTGAACGCAATTTTACTGACAGTGAAAGCACAGATATTTAGGTTTATCAATATTCAATCCCCCCTCAAACAGATTAAGGTAGTTTGTATGAATATGAAAGCTTATTCACACTGCCGGCCCTCGGTCAGAGGCTTGTGGATTTACCCTCACATTTCTTTCCAAAGTTAAAGTTTACTGTTGCCACAGCTTTTGACACTGGACCATGGTCAGTCACTGCATGTGGAGGAAGTCTTGGGTACAGTGCTTACCTGGTTATGCAGATTACTCCTCTGTAGGTATTGACTCCACGGATCTGGAATCTGCTCATCTTCTTCAGCTGAGAAGGTCCGAGAGTTCATTTTCAATAGATAGCAGCCCTGAGAACCATACCTCTGTTTCATATCTTCATACACTGCATCTGCCCTGGAGAGGAAGGAGGAACACTGATCAAACACAAAACTCTTACTAAAATCCAATCATATACTACAGCACGACTCACTTTTTTTGCAAATTCATATGCAGTATAGTTCTGAGTTCAACCAAAACTAGAAGTCTAGGCATTCATATCTCTTCAACAGAGAAATTATACAAAATGGAATAATTGAGTAGTGAGTGAGAGTTTGATCCCCAGTACCTCCTGCTGCATGTCGTTGAGCAAGATACTGAACCCCAAACATGTATGGATGTGTGTGAATGGGAGAATGTGACCTGTAGTGACACGGTCGGAAGACTTGAAAGGTGCTATACTGTACATATGCACCAAGACTGGTGCCCAAAAAACAATGATAATGTTACACAAATTGGTGAAGATGTTTTCGACACAAACTTTGCCTACTCTCAAATATTGTACTACAACACAAACTGGCAGATCTGCATAAATATATGCATGTTGATAGTGAAGCTTCTTTCAGTACCTCTGTTCATCACCCTCACTCATGTCATGAAGTAAGACGTAGTACTTGAGTGTGTTGGGAATAAACCACTTGGGGTTAGTGTATTCTCCACTGTGTTGAATCCTGTGCTGCTCCTGGGAAAGCTTGAGGAAGTGCTCCACAGGGACTGTCTCAGTGGAAGACACTACCAGTAGGCCTGTCAGGACCAGGACGTCAAGGACACCACTGTAAACCATTTGGATCCAACAGAAAAGAGCAAATACGCTGAACAGGAGGGTCTATGCGACTACGACTACTAGCACTAGTACTTTTCCCATAAAAGTACAACTTTATTACATGATGAGATGTATTTCCTGTTGATTCGGGACTTATTATTAGTCGTACTAGTACTACTACTAGTTTTCAGAGGCTTTAAGATGATAGGCTTGACACTGTGTGGTGTGCTTAAAAGTTAACCAGGGACATTCTGTCAAACTATTTACTCACATTTACTATTTTGTACAACTAACACTACATACATGCAGTAAAACCTCTTACTTAAATTTTCTCTGACTTTCTCCTTACAGTGGGGTTTTCAGATATTTTCTGATATGACACCACCTGAGCAAGGACACTGCTTAACATAATTGGAATTTTAATAAATGATCCGACCAGAGTTTGTTGACTATTCATGACCAGTGGCCAGATTTGTGCGCTGTTGAAAGGATACAGGCAAGGTAGTGATTGAGGAACTCATGGTCTGAGGCAGGCATCGACTGCAGGAAGTTCTCCCTGTAGGTTTCAAACCAGGGCGTGGTTGCTAGGAACACAAAGACAAAATTAGATACAGGATTTTATCCAACAAACACAGATCAGCCATTGTCTCATACTATGTGTTCTCTGTTTACCAGACGGTTACTAAAAAACACTGCTTTTAGTTTTTTTTTTATTTGGTGTTTTTTAAATCATATGTGAACTACTGTTATTGCTGAGCAACTGTGTCCCAATTTCCCAATTTAATTTAAGAGAACACAACAGAACTGCAAAATAACATGTAGGGGTTTTGTCTTAAGTGTAATTGCTTTTTATAAATCATTTCAACTGTACAAGTCATTGTTTCTTGAAAAATGAAAAAAAATTGAAAAAAAATCCCATTTAAAATTTGTTTTTGTGAAGTTTATTTGGTGCTTTTACATTCATCTCAGTTTTCAAGGGTTAGATCTGTGAATGAATCTGTGATTCATACATTTTATACTGTGGCTTTAATTTAAAAAAAGTCATCATTCATCATAAATTCATAACCTCAAATATTCATATGATATGTGGAAAGCAACAGCAGGAGAGTGGTTGTTTATCAGCATTTTCCAAAAATTCTTAAGTTCCTACTTGCATGAGAATTTAGACCTGTTCAGGTGTGCATGTTTCCAAATGTTAAACTTTAACAGTTCAAAGATCTACATGTAACTCATCTTTACGATTATGATGTTTTGGGATTATATCGCCCAGTCTTTGTATGTGGGGCACACGCGTTACCAGGTGAGCTACAGTGTGTCCCAAATGTGTACATCTTGGTTACAATATCATCACTTAAATCACAAAGATTGCGTTGCACTAGTTGCCAACCATGAACCATAATGTCTCCGGCCGAAAACTATGTTGCACGTTATTACCCATCTTTCTCATCTTCCTCTCCCCTCTATCACAGGCACAAATACTAAAACTAAATCACAACTGTAATCTTGTGATTTAGTTTAAGGAAATAATCTGAAGAGTAAATGAGGAGGTTTTGCTCATATTTTCCCAAGAAAGCAACTGAAAATTAAAGATGGCATCAATCCAAAGTAAAATGATTAGTCATACTGCCTCATCTCCACTGTAAATAAAAAATGGAATTAAAACTGTGTGCCACTGGTTAGCTCTGAGTATCTCATGATTTGATTGTTATTCTTAATGTGTCTTGACACATCTAAATTGTTTATTTCTAAAGTTTTTCTTACTATATAACCACAATTGCACATCAGAACCATGGATCATTAATAATCCGTCTGAAAACTGAAAATCTAACCCTGTCAACTACGGAAAACAGCCTCATTTCACTTGCAATGTCTTTTTTCATTTACAGTGCATCCTCAATACCCCGCCATATGTTGGTGCTTTGATACAGCTATTATCATGTTTTATTTTTCTTCTCACCAATTTGAATCTTCACATTTTTGTGACTTGATTATTTTTATTCTTCTGATGCCAACCTCCTGTCTCCACCACTGAGGACCAAGCATCGTACCTGGAGCAACAGAGTATTCTCCATTGCTGCCCCCTCCCTGTGGAACTTTCTCCCCAAACAAATCTGAAACTGTACTGATCCATCCAAATTAAAATCACTGATGAAAACCCCCTTTTTCAGAAAAGCTTTAAATGATTTTAACAATTAGTTATTGTTGACTGTTGTAGATATAGCTATAATTTTTTAGTGTGTTGTTTTTAGCTTTTTCTTTTCCTTTTTAACTCATATGAAGTGTCTTTAAGTTTCTTTAAAAACCGCTCTATAAATTAAATGTATTACTATTGATTGATTAACTCTCGCAATATATTATCAAATTCCTAATAAATGGATGTATATGTGCATATTGATATTTGTGCCCAGCCCGCTTGTTAGACTTGTCTATTAGGACAGCAAAGAAAAATTGCAATTAAATGATTGTGTGGCATCAAGGTTCTCCAACAGCACCAGAAGAGCTGTCATTACGAGTGACCATTTATAGTGCTTGTACTATTAGTTTATCACAGGTACCTGTAAACCATCATCAGCAGTTATCTCATAATTATTATATTATATCATAATTATTAAATAGTTTAGAGGATCAATGATTAATTTATAGTTCACATATTCGATCAGACAATACAAACTACTTCACAATTGAGGGTAAAATTAAAGGATAATTGAATCATGGAAATTATGGTTCAAATGTAAATAAAAATAAAATTCTTCACCAATCTTAATAAGTACAAAAAAAATAAGCACCCACTACATTGTAACAAAAAGAATAGAGACGCCCACAAGACAGTGCAGCTACTGGAAACCAGAGGGAGAAGAGTAGGGAAGGTGTGTCAGAGCTGAGAAGACTATAACTATCCACACATCAGCCAGGAGACAGTGATACCTGTGTAGTGCTTGGAGGTGCTGACTTCCAACAGTGTTTCTTTCCAGGCACTGTACCAGGGGGTGCTAGCTTTAAGAGAGTGATCTGATAGGTGGAAGCAGAGCCAGGGCTTATGTTAGCAAAATCCCATTTCTTTCAAGATCTCCACATTCAAAATTAATTTACAGTTGATCAATGGAAAAACCAGGGAGGAGAAGCATTATAGAAGTCTGAAACTGACAGTTGACAGTTGATTCAGTCAATGTAACAGGGGCTTTCATTTCCTACTAGCTACACTGCATAGTGTTTGACAATGAAATGTCAGTTGTAGCCCCTTCGGGCCACACAAAAACACTCAGACACATACAGAAAACATATATTAAATAAAATATAGAATAAAATAAAAATAAATTAATATATCCAGTCACTACATATAGTTCTATACATATACAAATACTACCCAGAAAGTATGTGCAATGTAAATGTTAAGTTCAATGTCATTTATTTATGGTCAGAAGATGAGTTGAGGAGTTTCATAGCCTGTGAGGAAAGAAGCCGCTCTTTAGTCTAGTGGTACTGCAGTAGATACTTCTGTAATGCTTGCCGCAAGGAACAGGCTGTGGTTGCGGTGGGTATAGTCTTTCGTAGCCTTTTCCATACACATGTGCTGGCTTGGCTAGAGTCTGTTTTGGCTTGCCAAACAACAGCCCAGCACGACAGTGATTTGCATCTCCATTACAACAGGCCTACCCACTTGAAGTGAGAGCAGCGATGGTCAAGAGAACTTAAATGAATAGAAACGCTTGGAGGCGGTCGGGTACGCTTTGATTACGGAGATGGTCCATCCTGATGTGCTTAATCTAGTAATGGAAATTCAAATCGGCAAAATCTACCTCTTTTGTCTTGCTGATGTTGAGAAGCAGGTGGTTCTGCTGACACCACTTAACAAAACTGTCCACCAGGCCTCTGGACTAGGTGTCCTGGTCTTGACTGACACAACCCACCAAATGGTCCTCGTACTTCTGCACATGGCAGGTGTCTGTGTCAAGGACTAAAGGAGATGTATTTATCATTATTATTACTCATCCCAAACCATCTCGATTGGGTTTAGGTCAGGTGACTGTGGAGGCTAGATCATCTGGCGCAGCACTCCATCACTCTCCTTCTTGGTCAAATAGCCCTTACACAGCCTGGAGGTGTGTTTGGGGTCCTTGTCCTGTTGAAAAATAAATGGTGTTCCAACTAAATGCAAACCGGATGGGATGGCATGATGCTGCATGATCCTGTGGTAGCCCTGCTGGTTCAGTGTGCCTTCAATTTTGAATAAATCCCCAACAGTGTCACCAGCAAAGCATCCCCACACCATCACACATCCTCCTCCATGCTTCACGGTGGGAACCATGCATGTAGAGACCATCCGTTCACCTTTTCTGCGTCGCACAAAGACACGGCAGGTGCAACCAAAAATCTCAAATTAGGACTCATCAGACCAAAGCACAGATTTCCACTGGTCTAATGTCCATTCCTTGTGTTTCTTGGCCCAAACAAATCTCTTCTGCTTGTTGCTTTTCCTTAATAGTGTTTTTCTTAATAGCAGCTTTTTGACCATAAAGGCCTGATTCACGCAGTCTCCTCTGAACAGTTGATGTGGAGATGTGTCTGCTACTAGAACTCTGTGTGGCATTCATCTGGGCTCTAATCTGAGGTGCTGTTAACTTGTGATTTCTGAGGCTGGTGACTCGGATGAAATTATCCTCAGCAGCAGAGGTGACTCTTGGTCTTCCTTTCCTGGGGCGGTCCTCATGTGAGCCAGTTTTGTCCCCATGTGCGACTGCACTTGGGGACACATTCTAAGTTTTTGCAATTTTACGGACTGACTGACTGACCTTCAGTTCTTAAAGTAATGATGGTCATTTCTCTTTACTTAGCTGATTGGTTCTTGCCATAATATGAATTCTAACAGTTGTCAAATAGGGCTGTCAGCTGTGTACCAGCCTGACTTCTGCACAACACAACTGATTGTCCCAACCCCATTAAGAAGGCAAGAAATTCCACAAATGAACCCTGACAAGGCACACCTGTGAAGTGAAAACCATTTCAGGTGACTACATCATGAAGCTTATTGAGAGAAGGCCAAGGGTTTGCAGCGCTGTCAACAAAGCAAAGGGTGGCTACTTTGAGAAATCTAAAATATGAAACATATTTAGAGTTATTGGACACTTTTTTGTTTACTACATAATTCCATATGTTCATTCATAGTTTTGATGCCTTCAGTGAGAATCTACAATGTAAATAGTCATGACAAAAAAAAAAGAAATAACATTAAATGAGAAGGTGTGTCCAAACTTTTGACTTGTAGTGTATATACAAACATGTATACACCCAATAAATAATTCTGCAGTGCATCTTTTGAATTGCCACGAGGGGAATGTAAACAGCAACAACAAGATAGTCAATATGGTTTCAATATGGTCTTCATTACGTGGGATGACAAGGCTAAGGTTCAATCTGAGATGCAATGTGAAAGATCCTCAATACCCTCCCTATATGACTCACAAAGACCTAACAGTCTGTCATTTCAAAACAGTCCCACAGAGCTCCATCTCCTCTTTCCTGTGGTCACAAAGTGGTGCTGGACTAATGTTATTGAGGTGGAGTACCTTGTGGTCCTAACTGCCATGGTGAGGAGTGCTCTAGAGATGTAGGTGTTCCAATTCAGAGTCCCAGCACTTTCAGTGTTTTTCTCAAGGTGATATGGTTAAAATCCCCAGAGATTACAATAAATGTGCTGGGTCTGTAGCCTGACTATAACAGCATTCAAATGCTGCATCTGCGTTGGCAGAATGTGGGATGTACTGTATACGACCACAACAGTAACATAAGAACTCACATGGTAGATACTATGCCTCCACAATCAACTCTTCTTGAGTGCAGACAACAGTGGTCTAGCAGCACAGTCAACAGTCAACAGTCACCATGAGTATTCAAATGGTGAAAAAGTAAATAAAAAGTTTAGTGTGTATGGTCCAAGGTTAATAATGGTTCAATGATGGTTTAACAAGCACTAACTAAACAAACTCGGAGCTGCTAAAGCCAGCTTCCAGCTTAACCGGCACCATATCTACTACTCAGTGTTTATCGAGTCTTATTGTGTCAGATATTATGTCACTCTTTTTTTAGTTTTTTGTTTTTATGCAAATACATTGTGTAGATCCCAGGAAGAGCTACTGTTGTTACAGCGGCTGACAGGGATCTGAACAAACATTATACATTTTGGCCCTTTTCCTGTTGACAAAGGGTAAATAATGGCAACCTGCAACTTTACAGTATTTATGTCTACGCTCAACTCAAACAGTTGAATTAGAATAACTTGGGATATATTATATGAATAACATTTCATCCCTGTGGAAAACAGAGATTAAATATTGTTTTTTCATCTAACCCACTCATGGACACTTTTTTCCAGCACATTTTTAGATTATTACCGATAAATTGGTGTATGTGTTTATGACAGCTGATAACTTACAAGAAATTAAAGTAATGGAAAGCTAAATGTGTGCCTGAGCTGTTTTTCTAGTCCTGGCGCTACTGTGTAGATTGTCCACTGGATAGCACTCCACTCTTGGCTCATCCCTGAAAGCAGTGACCTGAAAGTATCACAACTGAGCTGCCCAGAGTCTTTGTTTGTGGGTCTGTTACGTGACTTTATAGTGAGGTGCTCATATGCGTGTGAAATAACACATTACTTGAATGACAATAAACCATGCCCCCTAATTTGTTTATTTTATATATTAGACTCCTCTAATGCACCGCCCATTATTTGTTTAGTTTCTGCAGTAGCATTTACTCTTATGAATAAACTGGATAGATTAATACGTGAACATTAAATAGTCAGTGTTGCCACTTTCAGGATCTGAATACTTGTGATGCAACGGCCACCGGTGTACCATTGTAATATCAAAACTGGTATCGACTTTAAGTATCCTGCATCATTTAAGCTCCAGTCCTTACCACTGAAGTTGAGGTCATAGTCTCCTGCTGTGATCACATTGGTCACAGCGCCCTCTTGCGGCTGGCAGGATAACACCACTTCATTGAGGAGTCGACACTGGGAGGGACTGAGGGCAGCAGACACTGTGTTTGGACTTATCACAACATTGTTGACACAGATGCGCAGGTTTTTCACAACCTGCACCTGGTTGTTGGGGTCACGGATGTGACCTAGAGAAGAAGAGGACAAGAAAAACACTCAAATAAATCATTGCAGTAACACAATCTCTAAAAACAGTCACAAATGTAACTACATGGCTTTTTTCTTTATTAGGAATAAATCTGCAACCTTCATGAACTGTGCGTAGCTGAACAAGGTCAGTCCACACTGCATTTTAACCTGGAGAGCCTGATATTTTCTTTTTGGACTGCCAAAATGTAATCAGGTGACTGAATGACGACCATCCTGGACAGCTACTCAGCTAACAAAGGCAGTGTGTTTAGTGTTGGAAAAGTAGAAGCTATGGTTTTATGCTTGATTTCTTTGGAGTTTACTGGAAATTTTTGGTAACGTTTGCAACATTTCTTCTTGTGAAATAAATTATTCAAAGTTCAACAAATTGGGAGTACATTTTGAAAAACCCCATGGACTTTTACCTGTTCAAGGTATCGCCTTTGGATGCCGTGACAGCAGTTTACATATTATATATATATTTTACTATAACAGCGAAAAAGCTCATTATCCAAAAGTACAACAAAAGGCTCAATTCAATTAATCAAACACCCGTCGAATAAGCAAAACAAAAACTTTCAAAAATGTGACATCTCCCACCACTTTGCAAGTGCATCAACGGTTTCTACTAGAGCCCAACCAATACATATGTCTATCGATATTTACCTTTCACAGACATATTGTATTGCTGTATATGTTACAATATGTACTGATATGAAAACTGTTTTTTTCTGGTGTATAATGTAAAAAGGCTTGTAGTTTCTACAGTACTGATTTAAGCTGCTTATTAGGGAACGAGCCAGCGACCGCTGGGAGGTCCCTACTGTATTTGCTATGTTTCTTATTATTATTTTTAGCGCCTTTGACTGCATAGTTTGTCGCACATTCAAAATCCTTGTATCCACGCGTTCGGTGAATAGAGCTGAATCTCCCCACCTCCGCCTAGAATTTTTTTTTCTAGAGCGCGAAATGTCAATAAACTACTTTTCCGGGTTCCTCCTATGTGCTTTGTCCGATCCGCACAAATTTTTTTACGTAGCATGTGGGGACCGTCCTAATAAAAAAGTAATTCAAAGAATTTTGATATTAAAAAAAATAAGCACGTTATAAAATTAACACTTCCTGTGGATTTTTCGTCAAAAAAGGAAGTGGACCATTTCTCCACATTGCTCTGTCCGATTGTCACCAAACTTGGGTCCATAGTTACTCATGTCTTTCTCAGGCATCGTTCACAACTTCAGGTCATCGCCACAAGGTGGCGGTCTTTAAAAAGAAGAAGTTTATATCTCTGCAACGGTAGGTGTGATTAAAATGAAACTTGGTACGATGATTGCCCATGGCTCCCTGAGGCTCACTTAAAAAGGACAAAAAAAATACGCCACTAGGTGGCGCTCTTTTGGCATGATAAATCACTGTGCGGAGACCGTAATAGTTATGAATATGAAATTCACAGGGCACATGTAGACTGGTGCCTGAAGCTCACATACCAAAAATCGTGTTTGTAGCGCCCCCTACAGGATATAAAAACAGCAGCCCGGGCGCCACGTTTCACCGATATGTACTAAAAAAAAAAAGCCTCTTGGACCAATACCCGAAACCCCACAGGAAGTCGGCCATTTTGATTTTCATTTTCACTTTTAGCGACCTTTTGGCGTTGTATTTGAACAAACTCTTCCTAGGGAATTTATCGGATATGCTTCAAAATTTAGTACAGTCAAAAAATGGTGCTGATCAAAAGTTGTGCTATTTGTGCATGTACATTAAAGGGCGTGTCCGTGGCGTGCCCTCAAAGTTGGCCATAGTGAATTTTGTGTGCATTTTCGGTGATTTTTTCGCCTTGTATTTGAACAAACTCCTCCTAGGGAATTTATCGGATCTACTTCAAAATTGGTCAGTACAGTCAAAAAATGGTCCTGATTAAAAGTTGTGCTATTTGTGCTTGTACGTTGAATGGCGTGTCTGTGGCGTGAGGTCAAAGTTGGCCACTTTGAATGCTGTGGTCATACAAACTGATTGAAAAGTTGAGCTATTTGTAACTGTACATCAAACCGCGTGCCAGTGACAACTTGTCAATTTCAGCCGATTCGCATAAAACAGCACTCATAACTTCAGTGTGCAATGTCCAATCTCCAATAAACTTCATATATTCTGTAACAGTCTCGCCCTGAACACGTCCTCGTAACTTCAGCGTACGTGGTCCAATCTCAATGAAACTTCACGTGTGTTATAACAGTCCCGCCCTGAACTTGTCTACATGACAACATTCAGACATAGTAATAGCGCCACCTACTGGAAACAGGAAGTAAGCACTGCGTGGCGATTTTGAGCTGATTTATGTGAAATTTCATGTTTTGGTCCGCACGTGTAACGACAGCACGTGAGGCGGCCGCAGCAAGCCCCGAGTTGCGTGGAGTGCAAGGTCCCGCCCAACGCTGCTTGCAGCCTTTATTTTGTTTTGTTCTTTATTTTCTCAGTGTTCATTTACAGAAGTGATTGACAATGTAGCCTATATGTTAAATTATTTTACATATTTAAGAATATTTAACTTAAATACCATATTCATTAATAAAGTGAGTACCTTTGCTATTTTCATTCCAGTTCAAAAATTCATTGCCATACTTTTCCGGTATCCGGTTTGGTATCGGCCAATGATTTTTTCAATAAATCATTCATACATATTAGAGGTGTTGAAATTAATCAAATAATCGATGCATCACGATGCAGATATGGACGATGCTGCATCGATGCAGTGGCCGACCATAATCGATTATAACGCAATGATGTCGCTTGTTAATTTTCCGGCCGCGGCATAAACATTCAAATGAAAAATAACATTCTCAGTAGCCTAACCCGTTTCATCTAGACCAGTACTTCTCAAATAGTGGGGCGAGACAGGCAGGGGGGACTGACGGGGGAGGAGAGATGGAGAAGTTTCTGACAGGAGTAAAAAGAAAAACGGAGGAGACGTCAGAGGCAAGAACAGCAAGTGACGGTAACCGGCATAAACCTAATAAGACCAGGAAATACGACAAAGCCTACATAGCCTTTAAGTTTAACGTGAATACAGTCGGAAATGAGGAAAGACCTGTGTGTGTTTTATGTTTAAAAACTCTGGCAGCGAGTTGCTATCCCACACACCGGAGGGAGCGGAGGAGGCGCAGGCCGCGCAGGTGGATGTAGCCGGAGAGGAGCAGGGGACCGCCCACAGCAATGGAGGGGAGGAGGAGGGGGGAGCACACGAGCCCCAGAGAGAGGACCAGGCCACAAACCAGTTATGGGGAGAGGACTCAGATGACCCATAGAACAGTGACCCGGGCCGCTGGGGAAACAATACTGACACAAAAGTGCGGGCTTATTGGGCGGAAATGGGACAGGAGTCCTGTCAAAATAAAGATGCTGACGTGTCGGCATCAGAACGCCAATATAAACAGCAGAGAAGATTTTTCTCAAAAATGCATTTCAAACGCAAACTCAGTAACGGAGAGTGTGCCCAGAGAATGGCTCTGTTATTCACCATCAGCAGGTAGTGTGTTTTGTTTTGCCTGCAAAATATTTGGCGAGAACAAGGAAAAGTCAGCATTTGTGAGTGGGGGTTATTTTGACTGGAAACATGCTAATGATCGTATAGCAGAACATGAAAGCTGTGACATTCACAGAAAAGCCATGATCGCTTACATCAATCAAGCAGCTGACAGTGGGACAGTGGACTCAGAACTCAAAAAACAGTTCAATGAGGAGTGTGAATACTGGACACAGGTTCTACAGAGAGTTGTTACTGTTGTGAAGTTTTTGGCTGAACAGGGACTTGCTTTCAGGGCCATAGGTTTGGAGACACCGACAACGGCAATTATTTGGGGTGCATGGAGCTGATCAGCCAGTTTGATCCTTTTTTAAAGGCTCATATTGAAAAATATGGAAACGCTGGCAGAGGAACCCCTTCCTACCTCTCCCTGAATGTGTGTGAGGAATTCATACAGCTGATGGGACAGAAAGTGGTCGAGGAAGTAATCAGCAGAGTGAAACTCGCAAAGTATTTCGCTATCAGTGTGGACTCCACGCCAGATATCACACACGTGGACCAGCTGACTTTCATCCTGCGGTACATATCACCAGAGGGCTGTATAGAGGAGCGCTTTGTAAAGTTCCTCCCTATTGAAAGCCACATGGGAGAAGCACTGTTCAACTCAATTATTGGTGTTTTAGAGGAGATGGGCATTGACATTAATAACTGTAGAGGACAATGTTATGACAATGCTAATAATATGTCAGGAGCTTACAAAGGCGTGCAGGCCCGCATCAAGCAGATCAGCTCACTGGCACAGTGGGTACCCTGTGCAGCACATACCCTAAACCTGGTGGGGGTCAACAGTGTGAACTACTATGAGGAGACTGAACAGTTTTTCAGTTTTGTACAAGCTTTGTTCAACTTTTCATCAAAGACCACTTCACGCTGGCAGATGATCAGGGCAGGGTTGCAGCCCAATGATAATAAAAGAATAGAGACTTTGAAATCGCTTTCTGACACAAGATGGTCAGCGCATGCTGTCACAACTAAAGCCCTATGTCAGAACTACGCAGGGATCCAGCAGTCATTACTCAACATTGCTGATGATGAGCACCAGAATTTGAGCACAAGAGAGGAGGCTAGGGCACTGCACAAAAAGATGATCAAACTGGAAATTGCATTAATGTCCAAAATGTGGAATGCCATCCTTCAACGTTTCCAGGGTGTGAGTATTGCACTACAAGCAGTGGAATTGGATCTGTGCAATGCTGTGGATCTGGTTCGGTCATTGCGTGAATATGTAGCAGGCCTCCGGGATCAGTTTGATAGCTTTGAGACAGCTGCAAGGAACATGTCCCCCATTGTGTCTCATGAGTACAAAGCAGACACCAAGCGAAAGAAAAAAAGAAAGAGACAGGCTGATGAGTCATCTGAGCCTGAGTGCGAGCTATCAGGCCACAAACGCTTCTGTACATCTGTGTATATCTGTATCAT